AAAGGGTTCTTTGAGTGTCCAGGGTTCTATATAGAACCATTCTCTTTACTAAAGAACCCTTGAAGAACCATCTTTTTTAAGAGTGAATATTTTTTTATATTTACTGTATTTCCCAGGGCAGCACGGTGGCGCAGTGGGTAGCGCTGTCGCCTCACAGCGAGAATGGCCTGGGTTTGATTCCCAGCTGGGCGACCAGGGTCGTTTCTGTGTGGAGTTTGTATGTTCTCCCCGTGTCTGCGTGGGTTTCCTCCGGGTACTCCGGTTTCCTCCCACAGTCCAAAAAACATGCAGTTAAACTAATTGGATATGCTAAATTGCGCCTAGGTGTGAGTGAGTGTGAATGTATGTCTGTCTGTCTGCCCTGTGATGGACTGGCGACCTGTCCAGGGTGTATCCTGCCTTCCGCCCAATGACAGCTGGGATAGGCTCCAGCACCTCACCGCGACCCAGAAGGATAAGCGGTTTAGATGATGGATGGATGTATTTCCCATATTTGCTCTGTATTGTGCCTCATTCAAAAAGAAGTGCGGGCTGACAGACTTCAGTGTGAGTGGGCGGGGCTAAACAGCTGTAGGCTGAATAGGTATGTAAATGTGTTCCTTTTCATGCCATCACAGAAACAGTGAATGGAAATCGGGCTGAAACAGTGTTGATGTACTAGATCAGGGGTCAGCAACCCAAATGTTAAGAAGAGCCATTTTGTCCTTTCAGCAAAAATCAGACCACCTTGGGAGCCTCAACATTTTATGTCCATTTTACCATCTTGGTTGTAAACATGTCTGGGTATGTGCTGATGTACTAGTACAGACTAACAAATGTACTATAAACGACAACGCAGACTTACTTTGCTCTGCTTTAAGCTTCAGCTCAGCTATAGCTGCTTTTCTCACATCTCCAGCAGGAAACTTTTCCAAAAGTGGAAATGTTTCTTGTAAAATATCTCAACGTTTGATTTTTTACGAGGCTGAAGTCGCTTCTGATTCACCAGCTTTTTGTTCAAATTTTCCTGTTCCATCTTAAATGGTGCCTGAGGCGCCAGAATGAACAAGAAGCTGACTTCAGCTTCGTGACTTTTTATTGTTTGTCAGTTTCTTGTTGCAGATTAAATGTTTCAGGAAACCAGCTGGAGTGACTGTAAATGTCCATTCATCTCCAAATTATTGATGTTCGTCTTAAATCTTTCTCTTTGCCTTTTCGTTAGATACTAGCCAGGCAAGATTGTTGTTTGTGTTGCTATGGTGACCAGCAGTGTCTGTGCTGATCTTCAGGGTTAAAGGGTGAATTAGCAGTTCTACATTAACTCCAGCGTTTAAGACCATTTACTGTTAAACTGTGTTGAACGATCAGCAGAGCTTTATTTTACTGTAAAGGAGGATTATTTTATTTTTACCTACAAATCTGATTCTGCTGTGGAGCCACAACAGGGCAGTAAAAGAGCCGCATCTTACCGACCCTTCTTTCATTTAAAAAGGGAGGAAAATTCAGTTGGCCCTTTAAATGTCGAACACGGCTGCTCGACCTGTTTCTCATTGCTCTGAAGGAGCAGATTAGAGCGAGACAGATGAAGGGTGAGTGATGAGTAACCGTGTATTTGAGAACAGACTCCATGCTGATAATCATTCTCAGCTCCTCACATGATGCTCCAGACAGAATTAGTGAAGAATCCTCAGAGATGGCCTATTAGGTCAGATGTGCGCTCGCGGTAGGCCTCGCTGCGTGTCGTCTTCTTTCATGCGGCCTGTCCGAGGTGTTGAAATCCCAGTGAAAGCACATGCTGAACCTTGAAGCAGCTGCTCTCTGGCTGATCAAATGGCTCATCTTAGTAGATTCTCACTGTGGACGCAGTGGATAGTTTCTCAACACAGGATTGAGCCTTGATCTCTTGCAAACTGCTTAACGTGAAACTGATCTAATGTCATCAGCTCTGCTTTAGTCTGTTATGTAATGCTGCGTTCAGCTAAAGCTCGTAACTCAGAATCTCTCATGTCTGGCTTGGAAAAAAACAAAGAAAACACTCCTTAAAACTGGGAATTCCTACTTGGAAAGTCAGGAATGTGTCCTCAACTCTGAGTTCAGCATGTGAAGTGGTATATACAGCCTCTGATTGGATGTGCTGCAGACTTTTTTTTGCTGTATAAACAGAAATCTAACTAACCTCTTTCACAAGCGGATAGCATTTGAGTGCTAATGGTGAATTTGTAGCCTTCAAAATGTATTCCGTGAGGTGCTTTGGTCTAAAAACAGTCAGCAAATAAAGATGAAGATGAATAAATATGTATATTTTTGTTTTTAGTGTAGACCTACAAATATGAATGAGTATATATTCAAGTATATATTCAATGACCATTAATTCTTTTTGCACTCATACGATCCTAGACTCCATTGGTGTAGAGGTCAGAAATGATGTAATTTCAAGCTACAACTTCCCAATTCCAAGTAAAAGGGGAATTTAACTGATTTTCCAAAATTTCATAATGAGATGTAAACAAAGTCATTTCAAGTGGTTTGAAATGGTTGATTGTAGAGACTTCCTTACAGTGGTGGTGATAGGAACCAGGGGTCACCATGACTACAACACAAATATAGCCATTTTATTTACTATCCAAAACCACCAGTGAACCTACAGATGTCATCTGAGTGTTTATATGTAATGTTGATAATAATAAAATAGTGAATAGGGGACTATTTTGCCTCACAATGCCCTGCATGTACCTCTCTAGCATTTAAAAATACATTTGTTTACTTTATTTACATTTAAACTGTTTAATTATGCCTAAATTTAGAAAAATTGGCAGAATTCCCTTTTTCAGCACAGCATAATACTCAATACTTGGGTACTTATAATACCATGTCTGGGTCAGTTTATGCCAACTTCCATGCAATATGTCTCACTGTTCAACAGTGAGACATATGCTCTTAATACGGGTCACTATTTGTTGGGCTTATCTGGTGCTGGAGACACAGAAGAGACAAATCACATCGGTGTTATTCCTCTGCAGGAGCTTCACGTCCAGCATAAAGCTCATGCAGCCCTTGTCCACACAGCTATGGACCTGAACGAGGGCAGGATTTTCTTGTAGCTCTGCTCATAGCTTGTTTAAACTGGCTTTGGCAGGTAAACAGCAGCTGTAATCTTCATTTCACTCCAGAGCCGCTGGCCTGCTTTCTCTGCAGTGAAGATGATCTGAGCTTCTAAAGGCATTAAGGGCAGTCTGTTGGAGATGTGAGCGCTTCAGCGGTGACCTCTCCCCCCGGGTGCAGTGTTTAGCGCGCACTGTTGGGATAATAAATCTGCAGCCCCACTGCAGAGAGCAGGAAGTATAAGATTTCAGGGTTTCCGTGGAAACTTGTGGCTTTTGGGCCTCTGGACCGTTGGCTTTTGGGTCTCACTGTGAACTCTGCTGCTCCCCAATGACACGCAAAGAGTGGGGGACTGGAGTTCATTTGAACATCCATAGTTCGAGTGGTTAGGGGTGTGACGATTTCAATACAGTGCAAACCAGTTTAAAACCCCAGACGCCTCTCATTTATCATTTTTTTGTGGAGACCACTGTCGTTGATCAGAATTAGGTATATGGGTACATCATTTCAGAGTAAAGTCATGCTATGCATGCAGCCAAAACATGCTCCAGTACTGAGTTCCCTGTAGTTCACTGGGTTCAGTTCACTATCTCTAACTATTCATCTCTATTAGCATAGGAATAGAAGTTTATTAGGCTCTATTCGTCTCTTTATTCTCTATTCCCTTCTCTACTGAAAATAACAATAGGGAAGTGTTAGGCCTTGAAGGCCTACAGAGAGTTCCTAATGATTTCTGAGAACTAAAAAATGCATATCTGTATTTTTTAGCTAGTACTTGTTGTATTTATACTCTGTAAGTATTATATTCGTACTCTTAGTAGCATTTTGGCTGGAAATAAAAGGTTTAAAATCATGATTTTGCCCCATGTTATCTAGGCAGGTATAGCTAAGTGAGCTCTTCCACTGGTCAGGACTTCCACTGAGCTGGACTGAAGGCCTAACATGCCAGATTAACCACCAACAGAATTAGGAACTGACAGTGGAATCAACCAGTCATGTTTTGATGGACAATAAGTGGAACATGTGAGAAAAACATGACTGTAGGCCTTCTGGAAGTTCTAGATATGTCACTGATTCTGAATATGAGTGGGAGGCTAACGAGGTTTCAGTCAGTCATTAGAAATGGAAAACAGCAGCTCTATGCCAAGACTCTTTACTGCAAGAGTCACTGCAAAACTGATATATTCAATATAAAATATATCTCTGTTGTCAGAAGAAAACCTCCAAAATGTTAACTTTACAGGAGAAGGAAAAAACAGACTTTACTTTTAATGTAAGTCAATGGAACCAGACTTTTTTCCAAGTCGTTTTGGGTCGTTTCTTTTGTTCCATTCATCATGAAATTTACACACAATGTAAAGGATGACAGACATTTTCAAATTATGTCAAAAACTGAAAAATGACAAAAATAGAGATACGTGGGTTTCTCCCCACAACAGCGATATGTTAATGTATGTTAGATGTTTCAAATAAAGCATGTGGAATGTCTCCTGCGACCTCTAAGTATCTGTGATTTATCTAGAACGGTCATGTGCCTCAGTGCTAAGATACTATTAGAAATCCCAAAGAGAGTTAGCAGACATTAGCAGTATTGTAGAGGTGTTTTTTCCCATTTTTTGACTAAGTTTTGCCCCGAAGTGATCAACTAGCCTTAATAACCACAGTCTAATGTCAACTGGAAAACAAATTGTCCAAAGGTCCGTAAGGAAGGAAATGGGAATATGCTTTCTGTTCCGCACCAATTTACTCAGACTGAAAAATGTTACCATTATAAAATGCTTAGAGAAGCACAAATACAACTGCATTTGATTTAAGTGCATGAAGCTGATTTCACTGAGCTAATTGATACCCCACTCTAGTTTTTATATAGTTTTATATAGTTTTTCTCATCTCTGTCCATTTCCTATTTGTCTCTCCAGCTGCATTCCTGTCCAGCCTGGGTCACTATGAGATTGCCATCCCGGTCCGCGTGGGCCCTCAGGGGGAGGCGCTGGATGAAGAGGAGCACTCAGACGAGCATGGACGGTGGCGGAGGAGTGCAGACTCCAACCCTGAGGCGCCCGATCCACAGCTGTATTACCAGCTGTCCACACCCAGCGCCAACCTGTTTCTGAACCTGACGCTGCAGAGCGGGCTGCTCTCGCGCCAGTTTCGCGTGGAGTACTGGAGGAGGGGCCGGCTGGCCTGGAGTCACCCGTACTCCCCTGGCTGCCACTATGTGGGTCACCTGCAGCACCAGCCTCAGTCCAGCACTGTGGCCCTGAGTAACTGCAACGGCCTGGTAAGCTTTCTTTTCCACACACTCAGGCTTTACATGCTGGTATAATAATCAAAACTACTCAACTGAAAACAGTAGTTGTAGCCGTCTTGAAGTGTGTCTATACTTTTGTCCATGTTTATAAGATAGCAGTGTGTCAAACAGCGTCAGAAACCACGTAAGCAAATCACTTTGACACGACTGAAAGTAATATTTTGGTGAAAAATTTAATTTACACAATTTCCCTTTATCCCAGATGTAATAGATCAGTCAAGACACGTGTGGTGTCCAAATTTTGCTTTGTTAGTTTAGCACTGGAGCTAATGTTACTATGAAACACTGTAAGTCAATAGTCACCCCAGTCTTATCTGTAAATACATCTCCAAAAAGTTGTTTCCCACAGTACTTAGCTACACTGAAGTTTTGTTCATTTTGTAGTTTACAGTAAGTCATTCTGTGTCCTAAAGCACATCAACAAGTCTGTACAACCCTAATGAAGACCTGGATTGGGTTTGAGTGGGTTGAGAGATGGTTTGGGGGTATGTTTGGGCCCAATCCCATTTCTTATTTTTACCCCTACCCCTTGTTTTCGAGTATCCCCTTGCCCCATTGGAACTAAGTTACAAGGGGTAGTAGTTAAAATCGTCCCCTATGAAATGGGACCCTCAAATAAGAAAAAGCATAACTTCATTAACAGCTACTAGCGCTGCTCTGTAGGCGACCCTGCCAGTCTGCAGTGACAGCAGAGGAGGGTAAAGTTCAGCTCCTCACTGCTGGGCTTTAGTTACATTTAGGGAATCATATGCCTTCAAAGGGGGGTGATGCAACAATTATTTATTATTGCCCACCCCTTATTTTTCGATGATATGAAGCTGAAATCAGCTATTCGCCAGCTTTTTGTTTGAAATTTCCTGTTCCACCTTAAATGGAGCAGCATTTAAGGTAGAACGGAAAATTTAGCTAGCTAGCTACTGAGACATCAGCAGTGAAGAAAAGAAATACATTGAAACGACATTAAACATGTAGCCCTATCCCAGCAAAAATCGGGACACCCTACCCCTGGACGTGAACCCACAAAACGGAGGAGTAAGGGCTGAGTGGTAGGGGTGAAATGGGATTGGGCCTTAGAGAAAAGATTTGGGTGACCATTGACTTGTTTTTTAGCCATGTTAGCCTCATAGCACCAGTGTCTTGCCACATGTCTTGGCTGACCAGGTACATCTGAGGCCAGGAGGAAACTGTAAATTAGATTTTTCGCTATCACTTCAAGTCAAGGGACTTAAAAATGATATCTTGGCGAGTGAATCTTATCAATATAGATTATTTCTCATGATAGGATTTGCTGTAAGAATATGAGTATAATGAATGTATTTCTAGACTTTGATGATTTAAAACTAGTAAATATTTAACTAAATAAGTAAAATAATCTTGTACTGTTCTAACAGCAGCCCCATAGTGAGAAATATCATGTTGACTAGATTTAAGATGATTTCACTCACCAAGATACTGTCCAGTGGAAGTGTCCCTTATTCCTCTGCTCACAGGCTCAGAGTGGGAGACATCTAAGGGTTTTTACATGTCCTTTTGAGATGATCTCGCTAACCAGTAAGTCTTTCCTCATGGCCTGCCCACCTGGCGTAACCTTATCCTGCACTGCTGTTTCCCAGCTCAAACACACCTCACAGTTCATGACACACGTGCTAATTGGTAGTTAGCTGATGAGTAGAACCAGGTGTGCTAAAGGACAGGAAGCACTAAACCAGGGCTGTCGCTGTAGATTATCTGACTTTCTAGTAATCTCGAGATTATTTTCATGAACAGCTGAACAGTAGTAAATTATGAATTTTGTTATCGTGATAATATGCTTTTGTGAGAATATTGCAGTTAACGGACGCTGATGGACTGCATGTTTCATTATAGAGGGAGCATAGTTAATCCAATTTAATTGAATTTGGTGGAGTGAAGTTTGTGAAATGTTGAAATCATTGTACTATCGAGTCTTTGATGGCAGTTTCTAACTAGCGCATTGTCGTGTGTGAAAATATATGAATCGTGACAGTGTTTTTACTTATCGTGATATATTTGCCATATCTGCTACCACTACTGAACAGTAATGTACTATACACACCCTTCCAAATGTTCCAGAAATCGATTAAAAAGAGTGAAAACACTTCAAATATACATAAAACACTGTGTGGCCATCAGGCTGTTTCTTAATGCAAGAGTGACCAATAGGCCAATTAAAAATTGTGCATCAACAGGTGTCAGCAAATTTAATTGAGTGCATTTTAAGTTATTTTTAATGCAAATTCAAATTTGTTGGACTTTAACTTACCTTAAAGTGTGATGCCAATCACAGTAAGGTGCTATTTACTATATAAAAACAGAGAATAGCAAAAAACTGATGGTCTGTGTTGCATTTTCTCTAAACTCCTCAATTAAACAAAACATGTAGAGAACAAACTGTAAAACATCTGCATGGCAAAATGTTAGTTCCAAAAACATTATTTGACTGTAAGTAGTGTTGTAGCAGTGAGGTAACATTTGTCTTAAACGCCCTCCGGAGAGCTGGGGTAGTAATCTTGCCCCTGTAGAGAGCGATAGTGTGAATGCCACAGTAGTGTGAATGCCACAACAGTGTGAATGCCCCATAAACTTCTCTTGGCCAAGCATATTATTATATAACTATGTTAACTGCAGAAATCTTAAGTTTTTAAGCAACCTGAGTACCAATGCTACCATAATGCTAAGTTCTGCTAGCACTTCTATTGGAATTCCAGTGTTTTGTTACCAAGTTAATCATTCAAATTGCAAACTAATTACTAAGCCAGTTCATCAGGAATCAATTTCAATCATGTTATTATGACAACCCTAAACTAGACCTGAAATTTGCCCAAATCTGGTCCCAGGGCATCACAGCACTGCACAGCTTAAGGCCGCACAAAGCCATGTAGCATCACATGATAGAGCGCTGTTGTACTACATTAGAAAGCAGCATGACGAGAGCGGCAATAAAAGTAAAGTTCCTTTTTACACTCAAATAAATTGAATGAATGAAAACTTTTAACATAATTATTATACCTTATAATATCTCTTTACAAACTTATCAAAAAATATGAGGTGAAAGAAGACTAGGATAGTAATGTTAGCTGAGGTAGCTTTTGTCTGTTTATTTAAAAGACTGACTACCTTTCTCTGTAAATTTAAAGGCACATATGATCTACTGTGGCTTTCTGTGGTGCCAATATGGCTTTAATTTACTATATTAATGACAAAATGTTGAAAAATGCGCTGGGATGTCCTGAGAAATCGAACAGTGCTCGGAGTCGCCGAGTGCCAACCCTGTTCTAGCGCATCTTACTTGCTTAATTAACAAATCCTTCACAAGCTCAATCATGACAGCAATAAACTGCGCAGTGCGTTCCAGGACAGATCCAAGGCCCAATTTGGCAAACGCTACCCTCAGTTAAACAAGCGCACTGTGGTCAAACGACTGAGACTTGCAAAGACTATGCACTTCACTGGACTGTCTTGCCAGACGGTTGGAAAAGGCTCATTGTTAAGGTGTCAGCCGTGATTAGCAGTGGTACAACTTCATCAGACCGACGACACAAGAAGCTTATTTTTCTGTTTTTTTTTTTTATAGCCTTCACAATGTGGTATTAATTATTGATACTTCCTGGCTGTGACTCTGTGGCCATCAGTGCAGCGTGATGATATAATGTTCTTTCCCTTCCTTCTCTTTCGCTCATAAGAGCGCTTTCTGGGCCCTGACTCAGGCCCACAGCGGACAGCTGTTCCTGCAGCCTCGGAGGTGCCAGCTGGTTTATCGCTCCATTCCAAAAACAGGTGTTTTGGATCCTAATGATGGATTCGGTTTCAAGCAGAGTTCTGTGGGCATGCTCATTACCGGCCCGAGCCAGTAATGCACCTGCGTAAACAAGAGGTTACAGAGCCAAGGCTAATACCCACTCATTTAGGCTTCCCCTTTTAGCCCCTCAGACTAATGGATACATGGATCGACCGGGAGAGAGATATAATGGAACCTAGTTGAGACCCAAAGCCATATTTAAGAGCAGGGTCATGGGAATCTGTGAGTTTGGTGGAATCTGACATCACGGATGCTAATATTGTTGCTTGAAATTCTCGAATGGCTGGAGAGAATCTCTGGGTCATGCTTGATTCGATTGTAGTTCATTAGTAATTGGGCCTTTGCTGACGCTGGTAAATACAGTGGAGGAATTGACCGTGTTCAGGAAGGCGTTAAGAAGCGCCCAGGATAATTACTGGTGGTCAGAGTAGCATAGCATAATTCAGTAGGGAACGAGCTGTGTCCATGAGGGCGTCACTAAATTCATTACAGGATTACGTGCAGTTTGAGAGTGCACTTCAGACAGGAGGAGAGAGCAAAGCAACACGTGCGTTGAACTCCATGGCCTGCAGGCCTATGAGCTCAGAGTGGAGAAGGTGCAGAAGTGTTGCATCTCCAAGGTCCCAGTGCAGCAGAACAGTACAGGAGTGTTGTTTGTATGGCCGTGAATTGACCGTGCAGACTGAATTACTCTCCCAGAGCGTTTGACCTGTCCAGCTGCGGGGGCTGCGTGGCCTTGACTGACCTGTAAGGGGAGTGTCATTTGTGTTGGGGAACACGCGATGAGGTTATTGATACGATTGTCTTGTCAGAGGTTGTGACCTATCCATCATGGAAAATCGAATCATCCCGGGAGGCTACAGCGGAAAGTCACTATTTGATGTGCCAGCTAAAAGCACTTCCGTGTATCGTCACTGTTTGATCTTTTGTGAAAACACCAGCCGCCCCTTACGTTGTGTGAACATACACTATATGGCCAAAAGTTTGTGGACACCCTTCTAAATTACTGAGTTCAGGTGTTTCAGACAAATCTATTCGTAACAAGCGTGTAAAAACAAGCGCCTAGTCATACAATCTCCATAGACAGGCACTGACTGTAAAGTGAGTCATAATGAAGAGTTCAGTGATTTAAAACATTGCACTGTGATAGGATGCCACCATTGCCATGAGGTAATTGTGAAATTTCTGCCCTGCTAGATCTGCCCCAGTCAACTGTAAATGCAATTATTGTGAAATGGGAGCATCTAGGAGCAGCAGCTCAGCCACGAAGGCCTAGACCACATAAAGTGAAGCATGTAACACGTAAAAAATTAGTAGCTTGCCGCCACTGGACTCTGGAACAGTGCAAACATATTCTCTGGAGGAGTCATAATGAGTCATAATGGAGTTTTCATACACCTTAGCTTAGAAAGCATCAATCAATGACCTGTTTGCTCTTCCAGCAGGGGGTGATTGTAGCTGGTGGGGAGGAGTACCTCATTGAGCCCCTGGTTTCTGCTGAAAACCATACGAGTGTGGATGGGAGAGAAGGGCGCCCCCATGTGGTGTACAAAAGGTCATCCTTGCGACATCTGTACATGGACCAGTCCTGTGGAGTCATTGGTAAGTCTCCAGTCCTAAAGATAGATGATCTATCACTCTGCATGAGTTCAGTCTTTCATGTGATCTGTCTGATATGGTTTGATGTGGCCTAGCAAGAATGTCAGTGTAGCCAGCATTACTGTCTGTAAAACAGAAACCTTTGGAGTAACATGTTGAGCTTTCCTCTGTTCTGGCCTGATTGCTAAAATTATTAGAGATGGCACGATAACACTTTTTTAGGCAATACCAATACTTCTCATTGTTCTTTTCCATTGTAGCACCAGGACCGCAAGGATTGTAATGGTTGGGCAGCAATGGCTAGCAGGCTGACAGCTCCACCAACCATAGAATGCAAGCTGTTTCCTGCTAACTAAGCTAGCACTACCACCTAGGAGCTTAGTTAGCAGACTAACAGCTCCAGACACTGAAGAACAGGTTTGATTCAGTTTTGCTCCATTGACACGAGCTTAGAATCGAATCTGAGCACAAAGTCTGGCGTTGAAGTGATATTTAGCTGGAATCGAGTGTGTTCTGAAATGTGTGGAGCCGTTAGCCTGCTAGCTGTCCCTGAGCCACTGTTGTGTGTGGTTTTTCTTCTGTAGTTCTAAGGGCATTTTCACACCTGGAAGTCTGGACCAATGTTTTTTGTTACATTGCATGACTTTGATCCAGTTAATTTTGGTTTTACATTGTTTTATAAGTGGACTTTGCATGACACACCTACGTTCTGTATCACTGACGTGGGCTGCATCTCCCTATACTTGCCGATGATTGGTTTGTAGAGGAGCGTGTGTCTGAGGTCAGTTCGGTGTGTAGACTTTTCTATTTGAATGGAGGAAACTGAATGAACAGATTCATTTTGTTGCCACTACACTATCTTTATATACTGCTGCTGCAGTTTCTTAATCTTCAGGTGGCATTGCTCTCCCATCCTGTCAAATCCCCTCTCTCTCATCCTGTAAAGGTATAAGATTTGGCTTTTTTTCCTCCAATTTTCTCCCCAATTTAGACATACCCAGGCCCACCCACTAGTTAGGACTCCCCCAGTCACACAGTACCAGCAGCGCTAGGAGGGCGAAGGCTAGCACAGGCTTACTCTGAGTCCTTTGTAGCGAGCTGCCGCTAACGCAATGTCATGACAGCTGAACACGCTCGGAGGAAGTGCCAACCGCCAGTTCTGTTATATCAGCTAAGAGACACCTGCGCTGGCCAGAATCTTGGTGAGTGATGAGGGGAGATGGGGGCCATCCTACCCACCCAGAGAGAGCGAGGCCAATTGTGCTCTCTTGGACTTCCGGCCACGGATGGCTGTGGTATCACCAGCGATCAAACTCATGATTTCCTGGTGATAGGACCAACACTTAGATGGTTGCACCATTCGGGAGCCCCAGTTTTGACCTTTTTGTGCGTTTTTTTTCAAGGTGACTTTTGACTTTTTTGTCAGACCAAATTACAGTTAAATACAGTTAAAAATTAACTGTACTTTTTCTTCATCTGCTGTTTAATGAGTGATGATAGCCTGCCACCAACTTCCTGTAATCAGTCCGAAAGTCCAAACCATCCGAAAAAAAGTGTTTTCACACTGCAAACGAACCGAACCATGATTCAGTTTGATACGGACAGAGAACGCCTCTTTTGGTCGGACCAAATTTCGGTCCTTTGGTTTGGACTGTGGTCGAAAGGCACCTTTCACATCTGCTAATCTGGTTCAAACCAAAATGGAAAGTCTTTTAACTTTAATCTGTCTCATTGTTATCACATGACCTGCTTTTCTTCGCTTTGGATTATGTCATGCTAAAAGTACTTCTGTGCTATATTTAGGGCAGATTTGTTGTAAAATTGGATCGACATTGTTTTGTTTTTCCCTCTGATATCAAACCCAGCATGTTCTCTGGCATCAGACTGATACTGAAACTGGGTAATGCTGCCATCTCTAGAATTTTGTGATGATTCTTGCTCCAAAAGCTGTAAAATCAGTTGTTTCCCCAAGACATACACGACTTTGAGTGCTTAACAGTCTTTGGCTGTTTCAGATGAAAAACCCAGCAAAAGCTTCACTTGGTGGCAGCGAACCATCAAACCCTCCCCCAACCAGATGGGACGTGGCCAGCTGCCGCTGAAGCGCTCGGTTAGCCGCGAGCGCTACGTGGAAACGCTGGTGGTGGCCGATAAGATGATGGTGGGATACCACGGGCGGCGAGACATTGAGCAGTACATACTGGCTGTTATGAATATTGTAAGTTTCAAATCTCCTGGTTCCCTGTACAGTTTATCACTGTTGATTTTGTAAGGAAGATGATCACACTGGCTATTTTATCACAGCCCCTTTTTGACTACTTGACCTCTGTAGTTTAGAAAGTGATCTATCATGTAAATCCATGTGTTTAATAAAAGGGGAGTAGATCACACCAGGCATGCGTTAGCGGGGGAAGAGGTTTTTGCGACGTAAGACACATTGCTGCAAAGTCCCTCATTAAGACTGCGGCATGTTTACACTAGAGACCCCCAACAAACAGACCTTGTTCTGCCTCTTAGAAGCCTGAGGGGCTGTAGAAGGGTGGTAGCACTGGTTAGAGCATTTGGCAGCAAGGCATGAGTTCATAAGGTCATAAGTTCAGTAGTCTCCAAAGTGAATATACTTAGTTTGTCAATTCAAGCTGAAGATAATGGTCATCTGACAAAGCCTGACTCTGTGTTGTGTTTTTTTATGATATGAAAACTTATAATAAACCTTATTTAGTCACTCTAGAGTAGCAGTATATTTAGTACTGTGTAGTGTAGTACTGTAGTATAGTCATCATTTCATAATTAGCACCCACTTAGTCCTGATCTTAGACGGTATGGAACTAGCAGCTTATGATGCTCGTGTGTTAAGATGTAAACAAAGTCGTTCAGAGTGGTTTGGTGTGAAATGTTCTTTATTAAGTTTACTTATTAAGTCAGAATTGTTCACAGCGGTGGTGATAGGAACCAGATGTCTGAAAACTTTAATGATTATAAAAGCTATGTTGCCTTATTCCTGAAACATTGTTTTATCATAGTCCTACCAAAAACCTTTGGTCTAAAATGTATTTTTACGGTAATTCATAGTGGAGAGACACATGCAGGGCATCGTGAAGCATTTTTTCAGATTTACCACTGTTTTAACATTTTTAACATTACCTATAAAACTCAGAAGACGTGTAGATTCACTGGTGGTTTTGGATTATAAACGAAAAGGCTATATTTGTGTTGTAGAGTCGATTCCCTGAATCAGTGAAAATGTGCCATTTCACATCAAAACAATCTGAACGACTTTATATTTACATCTGAGTTATGTAATTATACAGAAATTTAGAAAAAGTGGTGGAATTCCCCTTTAAGCTTGTGTTAAACAAAGGGCTTAGCTGAACTGTCTGCAATGAAGCTGCAGTTTTTACGACAGTCAAGAGATTAACGTGTCACAGTTTACAGTAAAATCAGTGAACTTCACAGTTTTAGAGAGAGGTTAAAGAGAGAGAGAGAGAGAGAGAGAGAGAGAGAGAGAGAGAGAGAGAGAGAAAGAGAGAGATGGCTCTTTTTTTAGACTGGTCTTTTCTTCTTTCCCTGGAGGTCAGGTTGCCAAACTGTTCCAGGATTCTAGCCTGGGGAACGCAGTGAACATTGTGGTGACTCGACTGATCCTGTTAATGGAGGACCAGGTAAAAAAAATTCCCATTCACACAGATCCATTCACACAGTGCTGATTTAGATTTAGTCATTTCATGTGTCTTGAATGTGCAGCTCCACATTCCATTTACACTCACACTACAAAAAAAAAATATTTTGTCTGGTGAAATGATCTTAAATCTAGTCTATACATATATATAAATTCTCATTTTGAGATGGTTGAAGAAATATTATATAAGTATTCATTTATTTCCAGACATTTTTGGCTTGTTTTAATAAATATGCTTGAAACAAGCAAAATTATCTGCCAATATAGTGAGATCATTTATCATTTCACTTAATTGAAAGTACTGAAAAGAAGTGTAAAACATCTAGAAATAAGTAAAAACAATCTTACAGTGTTCCTTCAACCATCTCAAAATGGGAAATATTTGCTATTTCGACTACATTTAAAATGATTTCACCTGCTAACAGAGCATGTTTTGCGGTGTGGTCACTTACATCTCCATTAGATGGAGAGAAATCTGATTTGCATCAGCGCTACAGTCATTTAAGATGATGTTGGGCACCACAGATATTTTCTTCTATGCAGTTCTCCATTATATAAGAAGTACACAGTGCCCAAAGGTAGCCTCGGGATGCTCTGTACAACTTATATCTTGTTTATTCATCACTTTCCAAGATAAATGTATCATTTATTCATTCATTGACTGAAAACTGAAATAAGGCAAGGAATAGTACTGAAACATTGGTGGGACGAACACTGGTGTCTCTGTCCTTTATGTACGTCAGTATTTAGTATTTTATTCAGGTTAGTATTTGGTGCATGCCCCTTCTGTTGAAGTCTTCTAGGCAAGGAGTGAAGGAGTTAGCACAGCTGATGCTCAAGCAGGCTTGTTGGATGTTCTCTTTTGGGTGGCCGGGTTTTGAACAGGTTCTTTCTTTCTGCCACTTCAGCACATCTTTCACTCTTGATTTTGGAGTTTTCTCTGTATCTGTAATCTGAGACTTTATTACCAACAGACAGTGTTTTTTTTTGTCAGTATAACCCTCCGGGGTCCAGGAACTCATCTGTGCATCAAATTGGATGTTTCTGTTTCTGTTTCTCCATCTTTGTGATGATACAGTGCAGAAATACGGTTCACACATTTCCTGAATCTACCATCTGAACTCTGGTGCACCAAATAAGCAGACCTGAGCAGGTCGCTGTCGGTTTGCTTGTGGTTGGTTTGAAGAACAGGATGAACTGTCATCTCCTTTCTACAGAACTTTGTTGGTTCGTGCAAAAAATGGATTTAGAATTATCTCACTATATTGGCAGGTGATCTTATTTTAAGAAACATACTAGAAACAAGCAAAATAATCTGCCACTATAATAAGATAATTTTACTTAATAAAGTGACTTAAAAAAGTAAAAACATCTAAAACACGTAAAGTAATCTTAGAATATACTTATTATTTTTGCGGTGTGGAAAAGACGAGGTCCTGGTGCTGTTTTGACATGTGCATGTGTTTATTATCTCTTTATAAGCTCTGAATCGGTAAACAGAATGAGTAGTTTTCCTTTTAAAACGAGGCTGAGGCATGCTGAAAGCCTTAATAAAATACTCGATATACACATGTGACTGAACATAAACTCACATAAATTATATTATGTATTAAGGTGCCGAGGTTTCTCCGTTTTGTAAAAGAAGTAAGACCCTCAGTGCTGTTACAGGGATTTCACCCAGCTTTGCATCATTCAAAACCACAGTAATGCAGAGAGTCTCGTGGCTTATTGCTCTAATATCACAAGACAGATAAAACCAACAAGCCCATGTAGAACAGAGAAGAGCATGATTGTTGTACAGTTGTTATACATCATAAAATCTGTCCAGTCACTTGTCTTGTCTATGTTTTAGTTCAAAGTTAATTAACCCCTTAAGTGTCCAGGGCCCACCGGCAGGCCCAAAGTTTAATTACACACTTCTAGAACCTAAGAACAGCTCAGCCAGTTTGCATTGTAATCCGTGTAGTTACTGAATAATAAGCCTTAGTATGTAATAAGCCTGAGATTTTAGGAGGTTAAATATGTCAGTGTTAATGCTAAGCACAACAGAGCCAAAATGCAACAGTGTGTCATCTTCTGCTTTGGTCCGGCCCAAGAGAACCGAACTACAAGTACAAATGCACCCTTAAATAAACGGTTCCCAAGGCCCAATCCCATTTCACCCCTTGCCCCCAGCACTCAGCCCTTACCCCTCTGTTTTGCGCGTTCACCTCTAGGGTTAGGGTGTCTAGATTCTTGTTGAGATGGAGGGGAGGGTGAAGTGTTAGGGCTACATGACCCTCCAAACGGAGGTTTTTCAGTCACCAAACAGAGAGTTATGAAAAAAAAAAAGAAAAACCGGCAAGATGGAGAACAAGAGACCAAAGAGACCCACAAATGTGAGAATTTTCTATGGTAAAACTTATAATAACCATTGTATTATCTTAGTTTAATGTTGTTTCAGTGTATTATGGTCCTTTTCTTCATAACAAGCATAAAAATTGCTAGTAGTATCCTGATGTCTCGGTAGATAGCTAGCTAAATTTCTCATTCCACCTTAAATGGTGCAGCAGTCACATACATACAACCTCAGGTGTCAGAACTGCTGTTCCATTTAAGGTGGAACGGGAAAATTCAAACAAGAAGCTGGTGAATAGCTGATCTTAGCTTCATATCACTGAGGAATTAGTGGTGGACGATAATAAATTGCCCCTCTTTGAAGGCATATGATGCCCTAAATGTAACTAAAGCCCAGCAGTGAGGAGCTGAACTTTACCCTCCTCTTCTATCACTGCAGACTGGCAGGGTCGCCTACAGAGCAGCGCTAGTAGCTGTTAATGAAGTAATGCTCTTTATTTGAGGGTTGTTCTATTTTGTAGGGGAAGATCTCAACCACTACCCCTTTTAAACAGTTCTAAAGAGCAAGGTGACACTCGAAAGCAAGGGGTAGGGGCAAAAAGAAGAAATGAGCTAAATAGTTCTTGGCAATGTTAAAAATCCTTAAAAATAACTGACTAATGAGCTTTAAGGTGTACTAATAAGAGATTTTAAGAGGATGAACATTTAAATGTATTTTCATATTCATTTACAATAAGGATTCTTTGAAGAACCATCCATTTAAAGGTTCTTTAGTGGTTCTTCTTCTATGGCATCACTCCAAAGAACCCTTTTCAGCACCTTTATTTTAAAGAGTGTAGTAAGCGCACTGTTGTAGGACCAGGAACGCATGCAGGAGTTCATTAGGACGTTAAAGACAGAAGCTCGTATTCTGACAAGCTGGACAAATACGGCCCCCGGAGTTATGCTCTGCTCAAAGGGCTCCTTGTTTGTTAATTCATGGAGCTTAAGTGTCCTTCCTGAACGAGCCTCTCAGACAGTCCCCGTAAGTCCAGTCTGTTTGCTGGCCTGCTGTACTGGGTGCGGTGCAGACCCTGCCATGACTGCTCTTGTTGTTGGTTGTGACCTGTCGCTCCACCCTGGTGACGTGCGTACATGCACACCAATAAGCATTAAAACATTAATGTAGGGACTGAGCTGGGGATCCAGACTGAGCTAGCACTGTTCTAGTCTGTGTGTGTATGTGTATGTGTGTAGTATGTCCAAAAGTATCCAGACAGCCTACTCATTAGTGCACCCATTGCTGACACAAGTGGTCAATTGACATTGCTTATTGACCAATAGAAGGGGACGCTGGAGCAGCTGCACGTGAGCCTGTGGTCACCATGCCCAGTGCCAAACTAGAGGGGTGTGATGCCCCCAGCATTGGGCTGTGGAGCAGTGGAACTGTGTTCTCTGAGGTGATTGAGCTACATCCAGTACCTTTGGGATGAGTTTGTGATGCAGAACTGATCATCCGACATCAGTACCTGACCTCACTAATGCTCTTGTGGCTGCAATCAAATCCTCACAGCAATGTTCCAACATCTAATGTAAGGCTTACCAGTAGAGTAGAGGCTGTTACTGCAGCAAAGTAGGACAAACTCTCTATTAATACCCATAGGATGGGCAGGTGTCTACAAACTTTTGGACATATATTATGTATATTCATATATTGCGTACTCACAAATCCCTCCTAAATGCTGTATAATGTTAATAATATGGAATGTGTTGGACTGTGTCCACTGCCCACCCCGGCTGGGGTGTTAACGGCAGGCCTTGGGCGCGCTGGCCTCACAGCGTCTCTGGAACGAACAGCTGGAGTTCAGACCTTTAAACAAACCCATTTAGGCTGCAGGGGAAGGCCTGGCAGCACCGCGAGGGCCTCTGTGGCGTCCGTAATCACGCATTAACCATCCCAAATCACATACGACTAAAAATACCCCCCACATTCGTGCTCCTGCAATTTGTTCCGCCTAATGTCATCTGACAAATGATGGCAGTGAGGTCATTACGCTCGTTAGGGCCTGCGTTAGTGTGCTATTATTATTGTACGTCAGTATGTTGTGGTTGAGGTTGAACTAAAAGTAGCCAGCCTCCAAATCAGAACACCACACACAGACGCAGACATTACAGACGCTCCCCCAGAAAGGGAAACCCGCAGAGCAGGGCATTATGGGTAGAGATGATTATGGGTTATGTCACTGTGTGCATTCCCGGGTTACGAGAGTGACCGAACTGCAGCCAGTGCAGCAGCTGCTCACTCAGAGAGAGAGAGAGAGAGAGAGAGAGAGAGAGAGAGAGAGAGAGAAGGTACGAAAGAGGAAAGAGAGAGGGAGAGAGGGAGGGAAGGTGAGAAAGAGGAAAGAGAGAGGAAGAAAAAGAGAGAAAGAGAGAGAGAGGGTGAAAAAATAAAGGGAGAGAGAGAAGGAAATAGAGAGAGGGAGAGAGAAAGAGAGGGAGAGAGATTGAGGGAGGAAGGGAGAGAGCGTGAAGGAGAGAGAGAAGGAGAGAGAGAAGGTGAGAGAAAGCTTTAGTGTGAGAAAAGAACAAGAAAAGAGAACAAGGGAAGGTGAAAGAGGAAGAAAGAGAAAATGTGAGAGAGAGAGAGGGAGAGTGAAATAGAGGGAGAGAGTGAAAAGGGATGGAGAGAGTGTGAAGGAGAGAGAAAGAGAGGGTGGTAAACAGAGGGAGAGAGAGAGAGAGAGTGAGAGAAAGAGAAAGGGAGAGAAAGAGGGAGAAAGAGAGAAAGGGAGAGAGAGTGAAGGAGGGGGAGAGAGAGGGAAGAAGGGATAGAGGGAGAAAGAAGGGAGAGGGAGGGAGAGAGAGAGTTAGAATTAGAGAAAGTAAGAGATAATGAGAAAGACAGAGAAAGGGGCAGGTAGAGGAAAAAGAAGGGAGGAAAAGAGAGAGGAAGGGACACAAAGAGAGAGAGAGAGAGTCCTAGAGTGAGAAAAGAGAGAGAGAGAGAGAGAGAGAGAGCAGCTCTGGCAGTGTTAACGGTTCCTTGAGCCAGAAGGAGAAACGCAGAACTGACCCACTGCGCCGTAAACACATTCACAGTGATAGAGAGACAAAGGCCATGACCCAAACAGGACTCCCTCTAATACTGTACTTTAACATATTAAAGTGATAGTTCAGTGGAAAAGCACATTTACACTTTCCACTTAGGTCAGATGTAGCTGATCAGCCAAGGCGTGTTTGGTGTGTGCAGTTTACTTCTTTAGGTTTTGTTCATTAGCCTATTCCAGGGGTCGGCAACCCAAATGTTGAGAAGAGCCATTTTGTCAAGTTTCAGCAAAAATCAAACCACCTTGGAAGCCACAGTGTTTCATGTTTATTTTATTGAAGTAACGTTTTGCATTCTTGGCTGTAAACATGTCTCAGTATGTGCTGATGTACTAGAATTGGCCAAAAAATACAGTATAAACAAAAACGCAGACTTACTTTGCTCTGCTTTAAGCTTTAGCTCAGCTATAGTGGCTTTTCTCACATCTCCAGCAGGAAACTTTTCCTCAAAAGTAGAACAGTTTCTTGTAAAATGTCTCTCAATGTTCAACTTTTTACGTAGCTTAGGTCAGCTTCTCATTCGCCAGCTTCTTGTTCGAATTGTCCCGTTCCACCTTAAATGCCCTCAGGTGCCAGAATGTAGCTAACTATGTAGCAAACTGTTGCACCTTTTAAGGTGGAATGGGAAAACTTGAACAAGAAGCTGGTGAATGAGAAGCGACTTCAGCTTTGTGACTTTTTAGTGTTTGTCAGTTTCTCGTTGCAGATTCTCGTATCAGGAAACCAGCTGGAGTGATTATAAACATTTACTGTTAAAACTTTGTTTAATGTACCAGTTCAGCTCCTGAAGTTCTAACTAATGAAAGAACTCGCTTGGCTTTATCTCCCTAAATACCACAGGGGGGATAATTTTCAGATGGACATTTCAAGATATTTTAACCCTTTTGTTTCCAACCAAAACGTAACAAATAACTATTGAAGTATCAAAGTATTACTGCACTGATTACAGTGCTTAAATACAATGAGCCTCATAATGCAGCTGAACTAAAAATTACAGACATGTATTTTTTAATTATTTTGTTTCCTGAATTCCAGAAGGTCCTGAGGAAAATTGTGAGAATCAGGTTTTTGGCTGACCTATTGCTTTCAGAGGTCACAAGAAAGGAAAAAGATGCTATTTTTATGATTATTTCTGCATTCATCCTGACATCTTCACACATGTCCTAGTCTGATCGTGTCAGCTGGGCTTCATATTCTCACTGTGTGAGACTGTTTCTGTAATAGTGCACATATCTTCTCACACATTTTTGGTTTGGTTGATATTATGATCTGTTGTGTTGCAGCTGGGCTTCATGTTCTTACTGTGTTGTTCTGTTCTCTGATTGGCAGCCCACTCTGGAAATAAACCACCATGCGGGAAAGTCTTTAGACAGCTTCTGCAAGTGGCAGAAGTCCATCCAGCACCGGAGCGGCCATGGAAACGCCATCCCCGAAAATGGCATCGCTCACCACGACACCGCGGTTCTCATCACGAGGTTAGCAGTTTAAGAACTAGGGCTCGACTGATGTATCGCTTGGCTGATAACAGCTGCCCATATTGTTGTAGTGGTTGTAGTTTTTATACAGAGCTTGGTTGGTACTGTAACGAACAGGCGCCACTAATGGGCGAAGTACTGGGCCTCATTCACCAAGTTCTTGAGAAAGAAGTCACATTTGTGACGTGTTCTTAAACCGCAGAACTGTTCACACATTTGTGCTCTTGAGTGTGTGTAGATTCTGTTCTTACCTAAGAACAAACCCCAAATAAGAAAACACTGGTGATTGTCAGAATCTTCATGAAAACTGCGTAAGTGGGTTTTAAGAAGGAATGTCTGCTTAAGAACAGTTGGTGAATGAGGCCTGTTGTTCTTTTTTGACAGCTTTACGTGTTTCAGGTTACGTTACTCATCTTTATCACAGAAATGCAGGCTGAACTAAACCTGAACACAAATCACCATCTTGTTGAAAATCAAATAAATGTGTAAAATGCATCCCAAACTAAGTTTTAGCATGACACTGTATAACACAGTAGCAATTTACAGTCCCTTAAGTTCTACAGTCATATGCAAAGTTTGAACACCCAAACTTTTGTTGACTGTAGGTATGTACCAGGTGAGTGTGAGATACAGCTCCAAAGTATGAGGTATTTATCTTGGGTTACATGGTGGCAAGTTCCAGAACAGATTGACTTAATTACACTGAAATACCAAACAGGTATTAACTTGGGTAAGTCTGTGGTATAAACTCCAAAGTGCTGTGTAATAATTTGAGGGAAAATGATAGTAACCAGCTAGTCTAACTAAATCACACTGTAATGCTAAGTATAAGCAGGAAGGTAAGCAAGCAGTCAAGCAAAGTTTATTTATATAGCGCTTTTTACAACAGGTGTTGTCACAAAGCAGCTTTACAAGGAAATCAGCATTACAGAAAGAAATCTGGGTCCAAGCCCCCATGAGCGTCGCCAGTGGCGACAGTGGCAAGGAAAAACTCCCTAAGAGAAACAGGAAGAAACCTTGAGAGGAACCAAGACTCAGAAGGGGAACCCATCCTCCTCTGGTCGACACCGGATAGTAAAACATTGTTAGTACAAAAACGGGGAAAACAGGTGGAGCAAATGATTAATTTGATTAGTTTAGTTTATGCAGCAGCAGCAGCAGCAGCATCAGTGGAGTCAGGATATGAGGGTGAGGTTAAAAGTAATTTCGAAAAAACTCCATGTAGCATGTATGGAGTAATGGGTCAGTACAAAGACGCTTGAAGACATAAGAGTCTTAGCTGAATCCGGCCTGCAGAAGGAAGCAATGATTCTATAATAATGGCTTTACTTGGTCTTTACCATTTACATTTTCTGATCTACTTTTTGATTATACTTTTTTTCTGATTAGCTTTCCCACCACCTTGTTACTTTAAAAAATGATAAAGTTATGAGATATTTTTACAGTGTCCTTTTTCACCTTGATACCGACAGCCTATCTGAGATCTCACCACCATGTTACCCAGAATAATTACTTCATACTCTGGAGATTATACCTTGCATTTACCTGGTTGATACCTAGAACATAAGAGACTGTAAAAGAAAGCACCAGCAAGAGAACGGATGAAAAATAAGAAAATAAGGCCACAAGGGAAGCTCGTCTGGTGCTATGATATTTACATTAGTTAAGGCTTTGAGTGTATGCTGTGTATTTGAGCTCACATAATCAACAGGTGACAATCATATCAGTCACTAAAGCACTGTTTACCTAGAATTGACTCTTAACTCTTTAAATGTTCAGGATCCACCAAACTTTTATTACATACTTTCTAGAACTTAACGATAACTCAGCCAGTCTGCACTGTTTTTAGTGAAATAATTTAATAATAAGCTTTGCTGGGGGGGAGGTGTTCAAACTGGAATGCGTTTTTGCAGACCAAGGCGCCGTTTTATTGTTGTTGTTAATGAACGACAGCTCTTTAGTTTAGCTTGTTTTTGTGAACCGAACAACATTTGCTAGCTAATAGTAGTACTTTTTGCCTGTACATGTGGAAATGATAGCTTGCTAGCACAGCTGGGCTCTTATCAGTGCAGCACTTGAGAGTTTGTGTATGTTTTTTGCTGTTATGTTATCTAGAAATATCAAGCAAGATGTTTGATTAAGTTTAGTTAGTCAGTTAGCGATCACTAGCTAACATCAAGAGCTTATGAACAAGGAGAAACACAGCTCAGCGCAGCCCAACACAGCCTTCAAAAAACACAGCCCCAAGAAAAAAAGGCAGCGTGGTGCACCTCCTGTTTTTTCCACCTTCAGAAAAACAGTGTGAACCCCCCTCAGGATGTATAAGCCTGAGATTTAACAATGTACTGGTGAGCAGTTTGACCCTGTTTAGAACAGAGTGGATCCCCTGCTTTAATATGCCTGATTTGGCTCATCAGCTAACCATCCAGCCCTTCATGGTGTGAATCAGTGCGTGGATCCAGGACTGAGACTGAGCTCCACTGGTTTAAAACACCTTCAGAAGTGAGCTGAGAGCCTTCAGCCAGAAAAACTGCAGACGCTTCTCTCTCCGCTATGTGCTTTGACTGATTTACTGGATCTTCGTCCTCTTACATGCCTCAATTTAGGCCAAAAGTGTGTTTAAGTCTGTTTATCTCAACCTTGTGTTTGGCAAGAAAATGCTCTGGAGCAACACACACACACGCATACCAGCACAGCTGCCTGAAATCTTGCTGCGTTTATCCAGGCCCGGAGAACTAGAGCACGGAAACACTGAAGAATCGGAGAGGGGGTCGTTTAGGACAACGGGCAATGCAAAACAGTTCTATAGCTTTGATCTGTAAGATAAGCAGTGAGGTTTTGTTACCCTTGTATGTGTGTGTGTGTGTGTGTGTGTTATCTGAAGGATGGGAAAGTGTCTGGGAGAGCATCCCTTGCTTCCTGTTATTGTCCTGCCTCGGAGATGTCAGGACAGCGTTCAGTCTGTGGACTGTCCTGCTGTTTTTGGGGAAGGGTATTAAAGGGCCCATATAGTGAAAAAAACAAATTTTTTCGCCTTTTCTGAAATAACATTTTAAAGTAGAATGTGCACTTTGTTAAAGTTTCAGAGCAGACTATTCACGCTGCAGGTCAAGTACAGTTGAAGCTGCAAAAACAACCAGTTTTGAATTCATTGCTTTTGTGATGTCACAAAAAACATCACTTTGGTTGATTTTCTAAGTGAAAATAAAGTTAATACATCCTTCTAAACACATTTCGGCACATTTTAATGCACAATTATTGTTTTTTTTGCTGAATTTAACTTATTTGAGACACAAATAAAACATAAAATGTAGCTAGTGCTAAATTTATGGCACGTACCATATTTGCATAGATTGTACAATTGTGTAGTATTGTATATATTTTGTATGTTTTATAAAACTCAGCAAATTTTGCACTCATTTAGAAAATCAACAAAACATGTAATTTGACCAGGGGGGCTTAAACATTTATGACTTCCCGTATATTTGTATTTAACCTGCAGCAGTTAAGCCCCACCCAACTGTGCTGAGGTTATAAGGAGTGTTTCACTTTAGACTGCTAAACTGAAATGAGGTGCAATACAGGGTAGCCAATCAGAACAGAGGTCATATAAGTATATCAGTCTTAAAGAGACAGTACCAACAACAGCTTGTTTAAGGTTTGAAAATAGACAAAAATGAATTATAACTTCATACATACACTCACAAAATTTTAAGTGGACATCTGGGGGAAAAAAGGTAGGATATGGACACAGTAAATTTTTTCTGCAGGCCCCCACTGGCAGAATGGAAATCAGCTTAAATATTGTTAAATTAATATAATAAAAGTAAATATTTTACCTGTAACTCTGTTATCAGATTAATTAGGTGATTAACTGTGTGTGAAACGTTGAGCTGCTAGTGAGCAACGATGGGCTAAAAAGAGAGAGATGAAGACCCCCTGCTGTGAAAACAGTTCATCATGCTGAGAGAGAAACGGACTGCAGCTTTTCTAAAATCAAAAAATGATGTACAATAGAATAAAAAATAGCATGTAAACACAAATAAAACACTTTCGTAAATATTGACTTGCTCATGTTGGGTTAGTTGGCATAAAAATGTTTCTTCAACATTAATGATGAAAAGAAAGGCCTTGTCCAACTAGGGGCCTCTAAAATAGGTGGAAGTTGCATATTATAATGGTAACTCTTTATTTGGAGTGATTAATAAACGCTTTACAGATTATCAGTAACACATCAACAACATATCAGTGAAGTATCGGTAGTGAAGCATCTGAATACACTGAAGTAAATATCTTGTCGATGTTCTGTTGATACATTACTGACATTAAGTAGATGTGTTGTTAATATGTTACTTCCATTACACAAAACCTAACCTTACCAACCTTACCCAACACCTAACCCTCACCCTGGCCCTAATCCGAACCCTAACCTTGACCTCAACCCAAAACCTAAACTCTGGGCCTAATCCTAACCCTCATATGTTTTTGACATATTACTGAGAGTCTGTTGAGTGTTTGTTTCATCTGAAAAGGACCACTCAAAATAAAGTGTCACCACTATAGCTACTGTAAAAGGGATCAAAGGGATATTGAGTATTTGCCTCGTTCTCTTGCCATATTCAGGTTGTTCTCTGTTGTGTTTTAGATACGACATCTGCATCTACAAGAACAAACCGTGTGGTACACTAGGTAAGATTCATGACAGCACAATAAGCCATAACAGACATTTTTCATTATATTACAATTACGTTGAACATGTTCTTACATCTCATCATCTATTATTCCATGAATGACCGAAGTATCATCTCTCTTCTGTCCATAACAAAGCTAATTCTAGACTGAGTGGTAGTATACACTTCGCTCCAGATCAGTGTTGTATAATGTGCTGTAACTAATCCACTAATTTTATGTGAAATGACTGTTTTAGGCAGTTTTAGATGAGTTGTAGGATGAGTTTAGTTCTGTTCCTCTTTAGAACAGTAGCCTGTATGTGTATGTGTGTGTGTGTGTGTGTGTGTGTGTGTGTGTGTGTGTGTGTGTGTGGATCAGGTCTGGCCCCGGTCGGTGGAATGTGTGAGCCAGAGAGGAGCTGCAGTATAAATGAAGACATTGGCCTGGCCACAGCGTTCACCATCGCCCATGAGATTGGACACACGTGAGCAACGTTTTCTCTTCTCTCGCTCCTCTTCCTTTTTCTCTCTCTCTTTTCCTCATCCCTGTTCTCTAATCTCCTGGTTTGGACTCTTCATCGAGCAGCTTGTTGCTAAGCTTTTAGCTGTTGCCAGCACTCTGACAGTTGCTAGGACTCTGGCTGTTGCTGAGACTGTGGTTGTTACTGAGATTCCAGCTGTTGCTAAGTTTCTGGCTGTTGCTAAGCCTTTTGGTGTTGCTAGGAATCCTCTTGATGTTGGGACTCCAACTGTTCCTGAACCTTCTGGCTGTTGTGGAGACCCAGACTGTTGCTAGGACTCCAACTGTTCCTTAATTTTCTGGCTGTTGCTGAGACCCAGACTGTAGCTAAGCTTTCAGTTGTGGCTAGGAATTCCTGTGTTGCTAGGACTCCAACTGTTCCTGAATCTTCTGGCTGTTGTGGAGACCCAGACTGTTGCTAGGAATACACTTGTTGCTAGGACTCCAGCTGTTGCTGAATCGTCTGGCTGTTGCAGAGACCCATACTGTTGCTAAGACTTTGGCTGTTCCTAGGAATCCGCTTGTTGCTAGGACTCCAAATGTTCCTGAATTATCTGGCTGTCGCTAAGACTCTGGCTGTTTGCTAGGAATCCAGTTGTTGCTAGGACTCCAACTGTTCCTGATTTGTCTGGCTGTTGCTAAGACCCAGACTGTTGCTGAGACTCTGGCTGTTGCTAGGAATCCACTTGTTGCTAGGACTCCAACTGTTCCTGATTTGTCTGGCTGTTGCTAAGACCCAGACTGTTGCTGAGACTCTGGCTGTTGCTAGGAATCCACTTGTTGCTAGGACTCCAACTGTTCCTGATTTGTCTGGCTGTTGCTAAGACCCAGACTATTGCTAAGACTCTGGCTGTTGCTAGGAATCCACTTGTTGCTAGGGCCCCAGCTGTTCCTTAACTATAGGCTGTTGTTGAGACCCAGACTGTTGCTAGAACTCAAGGTGTTGATAAGTTACTGGCTGCGGCTAGTAATCCAGTTGTTGCTAGGACATGAATCATCTGGCTGTTGCTGAGACTCAGACTGTTGCTGAAACTCTGGCTGTTGCTAGGAATCCACTTGTTGCGAGGACTCTGGCTGTTTCTTAATTGTCTGGCTGTTGCTGAGGCCCAGACTGTTTCTAGAACTCCAGGTGTTGATAAGGTACTGGCTGTTGCTTGGACTCTAGCTGTTGCTAAGCTTCTATCTGTTGCTGTAGGACTCCAGCTGTCAATAGGACTTTGGCTGTTGCTAAGGCTTTTGCTGTCGATAAGTTACTGGCTGCTGCTAGTAATCCAGTTGTTGCTAGGACTCCAACTGTTCCTGAATCATCTATTGCTGAAACCCAGACTGTTGCTAAGACTCTGGCTGTTGCCTTAAGACTCCAGCTGTTGCTAGGACTCCCACTGTTGCTAAGACCCAGACTGTTACTAAGACACTGGTTGTTGCTAGGACTCCCACTGTTGCTAAGCCTGTAATTGTTACTGATAAAAGATTAAATATATTCTGGTATTCAGTTCATTCCTAGTTTATTGGTGCTAAGAGGCTATTTTTGAAGTCCCAGTTAATTTACAGTTAGTTATGGTCAGTTAAGCTTTTTCTGCACCCTGAATGACATCATTATATCATGTCTCTGCAAGTCCACCAACATCTGTTAACCAGTCAAGGACACATCCTTCACCTCTACCTCAGAAACCCCTCCACTTAGTCATACATATATTGATCAATAACTGATTACTGAAACTCAGAGCTCACTGATCCAGCACCACAAACACCTCCTAACCCAAACATTAAGTTAGCGCGACCTTACTTATGTGTGGTGGTAGGAAAGTCTCTAGCACACTGTTTCTCAATCCTTCTCCAGGGGACCCACTGCCCTGCACAGTTTCGGTTATTCCCTGTCTCGACATGCCTGATCTAACTCATCAGCTAATTATAAAACCCAGCAGGAGCTGGATCAGGTGAGTTGGGGCAGGAGTGCTTCAGACCATGCAGAGCAGTAGATCTTCAGGAGCAGAACGAAGAAACACTGATCTAAAATGTTTTCCCATATTCACATTGGTTCTTTCAGCTTGCCAGCTCTTAAGCATTTAAAAAGCCAGCTGCTGGCATTAGACTTTTGCCATCTGTTGGAAGGTGTTGGTGTTTTTGTTTGAAAATATTGGGTCTGCATGTAAGGTTGGAGAATGGTGGTGTTTGTTGGAGAATGACAATATTTGGAGAACAGTCATATTTGTTAAAGAATTATAATGATTGTTGGAGAATGTTGGTATTTGTTGAAGAATGTTGGTGTTTGATGGAAAATGGTGGTATTTGTTGGAGAATGACGGTATTTGTTTTAGAACTGTGGTGTTTGTTGGGGAATTGTATTTGTTGGGGAATGAAGGTGTTTAGGTGTTTTGTTAAATAATAATAATTTGTTGGAAAATGGTTGTGTTTGATGGAGAACGTTGGTATTTGTTGGAGAATGGTAGTGTTTGTTGAGAAATGTTGGTATTTTTTGGAGAATGTTGGTATTTGTTGGAGAATGGTGGTGTTTGTTGGGGAATGAAGGTGTTGGTGTTTTTGTTTAGGACTGCATGTTCTGGATGGTAACTCTTCACTTAAGGTTGGAGAATGGTGGTGTTTGTTGAAGAATGACAGTGTTTGGAGAACAGTCATGTTTGTTAAAGAATGATAATGATTGTTGGAGAATGTTGGTATTTTTTGGAGAATGGTGGAGTTTGTTAAAGAACGATTGTTGGAAAATGGTTGTATTTGTTGGGGAATGATGGTGTTTGATGGAGAATATTGGTATTTGTTGGAGAATGTAGGTGTTTGGTGAAAAATTATGTATTTGTTGGAAATGATGTTTGTTGGAGAATGATGGTGTTAGAGAATGATGTGTTTATTGGATAATGATGGTCTTAGAGAATAATGGTGTTTGTTGGGTAATGTTTGTGTTTGATGAAGAAGGATGGTTTTTGTTGGAGAATGATGGTGTTTGTTAGAGAATGGCAGTCTTGGTTGGAGAATGATGGTGTTTGATGGAGAATGATAGTGTTTGATAGAGAACAATGGTAATAATTGGAGAGTGATGGTTTTAAGGAGAGAAAGTGTTGGAGAATATTTGTGTTTGTTGGTCAACAATGTGTTTATTGAACGATGTGTGGTGAATTTTGCTGTTGGTGTGTGTGGGAGAATAATGTTTTCTCTAGAGAATGATGGTGTTTGATGGAGAATGTTGATGTTTGTTGGAGAATGTTGATGTTTGTTGAAGAATGATGATGTTTGATGGAGAATGTTGATGTTTGTTAGACAATGTCAATGTGTGTTGGAGAATGATGGTGTTTGATGGAGAATGATGGTATTAATTGAGGAGTGGTAGCTTTTAAAGGAGAAAGAAAGTGTTTGTTGGATAATATTTGTGTCTGTTGGTCAACAATGTGTTTGGTGAATGATGTGTGGTGAATTTTGCTGTTGGTGTGTGTGGGAGAATAATGTTTTCTATAGTGAATGATGGTCTTTGATGGAGAATGTTAGTGGTTGTTGGACAGTGATGTGTTTAATGGAGAATGCTGGTGTTTGCTGGAAAATGCTGGTGTTTGCTGTAGAATGATGCCATTTGATGGAGACTGATGGTGCTTGTTGGAGTACGTTGGGTTGCATGAGAGCTCCATTTATGAAGTAACAATATCAGATTATAGAAATAGAATCTTTCTAAATAGAAGCCTCTTGAGACCCCCATATTCCAAAAGCCCTCCTTCCAGAAACCTGTACTTAAACGGTTAACAGTGGTCTACTTTGCTTCGGTCTTGTGTTTTACACACATATATATATATATATATATATATATATATATATATATATATATATATATATATATGTATAGCTACACACTGTTATTGGAAGAAGTTACGACTCACTCTTTGCTAGCCGACTTGGCTGTGGTTTGCCTGCCCCCATGCCAGGCTCCGGGCACGTCTTCTGCTGTCTCTTTCCTGGATTTCTGCGTTTGCTGGGTGGATTCAACAGTGGCCTTGCATTCCTTTCGCTCTGGTCTGCTTACAAAACGTACAGTACGTCTTTACAGTATCCACACATGGATGGTTTTCTCCGGACCTTCAGATGTTCCCATGAAAAGCAGATCCTTTGCGTTGTCTGCTGTTTTGATTGTGGAAAAGCGCAGTGCCCTATCAGGCAGGAAATCTGTGGCTCTGTTTATGCAAGGTAATGGAGAGAGCCGTTAGCCTGGCTGCGCTCTGAGCTTCGGCAGGTGGAAAAGTCATTAAGGAGCTGCTCCTAATGCAGCGGCCAGGTAGCTTTAGAACCGGTGTCCCTGGGGACTGTCTAGACAAGGGGGCATATGCGTGTAGGATTACATAAGAGAGAGTTACTGTAGGGAGTGTGTGCGTGTTGGTCTATAAGCAGGTGTCTAGTCCTTATATCAGTAAAAGAAAGATCTGTGCAAACCATGCACCCATCCATCCATTCATCCCTCTTTTCTCTCTCTGTCTGCTCCTTTATTTCCTTGCCTTTCTTCTTTTTCACTCTCTCCCTGCCTTCCTGCTTCTCTCCTTCCTTCTCTCTCAACCTCTGTCCATTTTTTCCTCAGGTTCGGCATGAATCACGATGGAGTAGGGAACGCGTGCGGGGTGCGTAGCCAGGAGACGGCTAAGCTCATGGCCGCCCACATCACCATGAAGACCAACCCCTTCGTCTGGTCCGCCTGCAGCCGTGATTACATCACAAACTTCCTCAAGTGAGGATTTATATTCCCTTTTGGAAATGAATCACAGTCCAGGACATAAACTTACCAGGCGACTATTTAGCGAAGAGTGTAAAATTTCTTTTTTTTTTTTGAGGATTTTTATTAGGCTTTTAAAGCAGTGATCAAGCTGTGTATTACAGTAACTTTCTGAACTTAGAGACTGTATTAGTTCACAAACGCAGTATATAACTGAGCTGTATTTTCCTTTGCTTTATTAATTCCATATGAGACAGTTAATCTGTATACATACTCTGTGTGCGAAAGTCAGAGACCACTCTTTTTTATTTCCAGTCAAAACTCCTTTCAGTAGAAGTTATTCATTTTCAGGAGATGAGCTGGTTAGATATAAGATAATCCACTTGCATAAGCAGGAGGAAGGTCAAAGGAAAATAAATGGTCTTTCCAAATCTGGAAAGTGGGATTCCTAACAACCACCTGCAAGAACTGGTAGACCACCTAAACTGCCCCCATCAGGCAGTTTTATCAGCATATGAGAACTTCAGCGACGCAGTCCGGACAAACACTTTGACAGCATGATTCTTCAGGAAACTTGCAGTGCACCTGGGGGTGTGGCCTACAGTCCTGTGTAAATTAATGTTCAGTATTCTAAGCTGCAAAAACTGCCTGTTTAGGATTCCGTATTTATGTGATGTCACAAAACCCAGCACATTTACATATATCTGCCTATTTGTCCATCTTTTCAGCCCTACAGCAGTTTAGCCCCACCCACTCACCGGGGACCACACCAGACTGCTTTTTGAAAGAGGCACAGTACAGGGCAGCCAATCAGAACAGAGCTCATTTACATGTATCAGTCTTAAAAGCACTGCCTGTTTAATTCTAAGGGATAATGAGAGGTTGTGAAACAGTCATATAAAAATGAATTACAGTTGTTTCAAGAAATATGTAGGAGATGAGGCCTTGGGATTTAAATTAGAATAAATGCCTGGCACAGCTTTTCCTTAAAAAAATGCAACCTCTACAGCATAATAATAGTCAAAGTCATCCATAAAAAGTCTGGATTTTTTTGTGTGCTACCATTTTACTCATATAATCAGATTTCTTGATAGAAAAAAAGCAGTAGATTGCTGTAACTTCCAAAACTGCACATCTGATGCATTTTATAGAGCTCATAGCTAACTCTCATAGCTAGCTGTTGCTGTTAAGTGATGTGCAATCACTTTATGCACTCTGTTTATATAGTTTATTAAAGCAGTAAGCCACAAGAGGCCATGCGTTACTGGGGTTTTAGCCCGGGGAAGGGTGTTGTTAGGCACAACACGAAGCGGAGTGCCTTAAACCCCCGACTTATGACAAAATCACAGTTATGCGGGTGGCTTATTGCTTTTATAAAACGGCGGCCAACATTAAATATGATAAAATACACATTTTGCCAGAAAATCCACCAGGAAATGGAGATCCCTTAGTGTGTGATTTATTGCCAAGCAACCATTACCTGCTGAATGAGGAGAACGTTCGGTCGCCTATCGCTGTATATTTCGGGTCATTTCATTCATTTTTTATGCATACCAATAAAGGTATCATAACACAGCACTGTGCAATGCAAAAACTTTCACTTTATAAGTACTATTTGGTCACCAAATTACAAGTGCGAGTCTTATATTTTGCCAGTTTAAAGGTCTGAATCAAAAATGGCTCCCTGCTCCCTACACAGTGCGCTTACTATGAACTTACATAGTGGTTCCTGCACCCCAGTGCAAAATATAGCTAAAATAGTCATTAAAATAGTCATAAAATCATTTGGGATTCAGCCACATTCATGTCTGACAAATAGTGCACTGTTCATCCGCAGAAGCTGGAATTTCAAAACTTCCATAGGTAGCACACTACTTAAGGCGTTTGGGATTCAGCTTGGGATTGACGTGATTGAAACATGGACATTTGAGGCATGTAAGCCATTCAAATGACATACTTTAAACTTTTATATTGTTTTACAGTTACTCATATCGTAATACTTTAATTCCAGCCTGTGATATTAATGAAGGAGTTGTTTAGGCTGTTGGCTCTTTTAGCCTGTTAGCTCTCCGATCAGCCCGGTTTTGGTAAGAAAATAAGCCGTCAGCCCCTCAGTTTAAACAAAAACGGGTTCTTACTTCATTAGAACACCGGTGGTCCATGCGAGCAGAAACACAGTCAAAGATTATTCCATTCCAATCCACAAAACTTGGGCTGGAGGAGAGCTGTCAGAGTGACTGGGGCCAGAAACATACTTCGCACAAGTACGTGAACGTGGATGCTTTGAGCTCCACAGACGCGGTTTCTGTGTTGTAAAATGTGTCACTACGAAAGCCAAGCCTGGCCAAACTGTCTCATACCACCAGTGCACTTTCTCACAGTCAGCTGTCACGGCAGATGAGCAGCTGGGCGAGTCTCTCGCAGAAATGCTTTACATCATGCTGATAAAACAGGGAGAGCAGCTCACAGGCGGAGGAGTCACTGCCCACATGTTTAGTAGTTGCGGCTGTTGGAATAACAGTAGATTCCGCCCTGATTTTTCCTCTTTTGCCCCCTTGTAGAACCCAGTAATATAGTAATTTCTTAATAATGTGATAACGACCAGACATTTAATGATATTTTGCACTTAACTCGAAAATGCAGTAAACCCCATTCATGTAATAACTTGCCCAATAATGTAATACAATGTTAAACTGATAAGGTAAAAAATTTTTGCAATGATAATATAATACCTTATTTTATTTTTGGGAATTTATTATATTTTCTGGTTGATCATTTTTTCAAATTGATCACATAGTAGTTTGTCTGATAATGTAACTGTTAAAGAAAGCACTGTAGGAGAACTCGGGCAGCGGCTCTTGAAAGTATAACATCGCACTAAAATTGTAATAAATTCCTAATAATGTAAAAGGTATTACATGATTAATACAAAGGTTATTATATATTGTTTTACATTATTGGGTCATTCTACAGAAACGCCCACTTTTTATCTGTCCATAGGTGTCACTGGTGTTACCGATCCTCATTGGTGTTACATATAAGAAAGGTAACACCAGAGACATTTTTAATGAAAAATATATTTTACAAAATGGCTGCTACAGAGCATCAAACCACATCCTGTCAATCATGGAATCTCTACTAAAATATGTCATTTAATCCATTTGGATTCTATTTTTTCACATTTACCTAAGAATAAAGTCGGTCACACCAGTGACTTCGACTAAAATCTTCATATGAAATCATGAGCTAAATGAGAAAATCTCTGATAACTGAAAGACACAGTGGACTCACCATGTGCTTTTCTTCATAGATCCTCAGAAAGTAGGTAAGAGGAAGTTGAGTGATGTCATCAGTGTGATTTTTATTTCAAAATAAGAGATTTTTGTTATGCAGTAACACCAGTGACACCTGGGGAACTTTCATTACATATTTCATAATATTTATTTGGCATTTGTTTTCTTTATGTAATTTAAATCATATATTTCATAGTCATGTATAGATTTTTGTAGTTAAAATTGCAGAAAAACATGTTTTTTACCTCAAACTATGGCCTCACCCTTTACACATGAATGTGAGGACGAGCTCTTCTGTGGTGCTTGGAATTCTAGATAACTGATTTAAAAACCAATATTGCTAAATTGAGGCTCAAGAAGGTGTAATTGTTAAAATAGCTTATCGTTTCATTTTAAAAATATAAATAAATTCTAACCCTCACATGTTTTTCAAGTGCAATATATCTGTAAACGCTAGGGACACAGACATTTCTATAGAATGACTCAGTTACGTTATTAAATTATTACATTATTGCATAAGTTTTTAACCAAGTTAAGTGCAAAATATTACTAAATTTCAGGCCCATAGTACGTTATTGGGTAATCATTACAATATTGGGCTCTACACCCCATTGAGGCCTGAGTGTTTTAACTGCCACAGTAGTGTACGGGCACAATCTGAGTTTGTATAGAAGGACCATCTGTTCGCAGTCAGTTAACCAGGCGTTGTCATTTGTGTGGAGGTTTTTTTCTGGTCTTAAGGCCTGAAGGGAACTAGTGTGCAATAGCAATTTCCACTATAATTAAGTTCTGCTAAACTTCAGAATTTAACATTAATCATTTTTCTTAATAAGGATTTAAGATAAGAATGTAACACCTGTTCCAACAAGTTTGTATCTAGAAAGTGTTCCATTATTCATTATGTATGTATGTGACTTTCTGCAGTTCTGGCATGGGATCCTGTGTGAACAACGTTCCCCCGAAACAGGAGTTTGTTTACCCCACCACAGCCCCCGGACAGGCCTACGACGCTGACGAGCAGTGCCGTTTCCAGTACGGAGTGAAATCTCGGCAGTGTAAATACGGGGTACTCCATTTCACTCTTACAGACTACTGATGTTTTGAGTGTATTTGAGTCCACTGTGCTGGCCAGTGTGATGTCTGTATCAGTACACCAGTGTGGGTGTCACACAACAGTGCTGATTATTAGTTTTAGTGGTATTGACAGAAAATAAATGCTATTTTCACAGTAATATTCTGTTTTATAACATGGCCATTTTCCTGGTGCTACACTGGTGAAAATACGCTGTTGAAGGTTCCTTTTGGTGTACATTTAGAAGCAGCGGCACACAACAAAACAGCCAGGCAAAACTAGTCCTATTAGGTTTTAGTGTAGCAGTAGCAGCGCTCAGGAAACGTGGCCTTTAACTCTATTAATACTAACTTAAAAATCCTCTAAATCCATGATAAGTGGGAAACATTGTGATACTGAATCTTGTCAACATTATCCAGCAGCATTCTAGACTATTATACTGGATATTATTATTAAAATTCAGTCACATTATTTCCCCCACATATTGTGCTATCAGGGTATTTGATGATATTTGAAGTTAGCATCTTACAAACCTGATATACAGTCATGTGCAAAAGTTTGGGTGCCCTGGTCAAATTATGTTTTGTTGGTTTTATGAGTATAAATCAACACATCCTCTACAGAAAACACAATTTTACTGCTAAATTATTTGCAGAATTTAACATTTTGGAGAAAAATAATAAAACTTAAAAAATGAGGAGTGTTATGGCATCTTTTATAGTTTATGTTTTATTTTTTCCAATTTGTTAATGTAATGAGTCCGACTTAGTCAGATGTATGTGGATAAAGTGTGAAAAAGAGGCTTTACTAGTTTGTCCAGTTGAGGTCAAATAACAGGTGAAGATCAGAACCAACACGAGCCAACAGTGTATAAACATAACAAAGATAAATCCAGGCAACCACAATCCAAAAAGGGAACAGGCAAAAGAAAGAGACGAAAATACAAACAGTGGGTCAGATACACAAAGAGTAGAACAGAACGCGGTCAAGAACGTTCAGTAGCTCAATGAATGAAGCAATACTTCGCAACTAACCTATCCTAAAGCCCGGGCTTATAAACTAACTGGATCTCGTCACATGATATGTACAGTGATCTCTGATAGGTGGAACCTGGTGACCTTGACGTCACGTGTTCACCCAGAGGGTTCTGGGAATTGGAGTCCTGAGAGTCATGGCTGGAGGGATGCGTGACAGTTAACCTCAAGTATAAATTGTACACTAAAATTAGCATAAAAGGCCCAACTGAAGTCTGTTCCCTGTATGGGAGGTGTGAAATTGTTTTCTCTTAGAAAATCAAAAAAAACATAATTTGGCTGAGGGGTGTTTTCTTATCTTAATATTAGACCAAAAGGAACCTTACTTAGCACTGTAGAGACAAACACAAATGGCCTGGCGTCAGAAACACAGCTGATTTGTTGGTGTTATTTCATAGATATAGTGCTCTTTAAGAAGCTAATATAGGTATATTGCTAAAACATTGCTAAAACCAAAAAAACACTATATGGTATATTGATATAGATGACATGTGTTATCCTTTATTGCCCTACAAGATAGTCTTTTTATTTGTTTCATTTGATTCTGTTTTATTATTATTATTGTACTTCATCCATTGTTTTCATTCTCATTTTGGTCCTTTTGTTCTCTGATGTTTGTTAAATTCAGATGCTTTGCAAATGAGGGATCTCCCAGATTGTACTCTCTAATACTCTAATGCAACAGTGCACCAGTCTGGGAAGACTAATATAATCTAAATCTAAACTAATATTATCTTTGAAATGCATTCAGTTGTATAAACAGTTTTATTAGACACAGAGAATCAACAAGCGCCTCAATACGCTCAGAGGAGCACACTGAACATCTCACTCTGAGATGTGATTGTGTATATCATTGCTGGGCGACGTGGCAGAGTTGCGCCATTCCGTTCTTTCCTGGTCACATCCTTGAGGAGTTGCAAAATGATACTGAATTGCTTTTCTTGACAGTGCTGTGTCTTGAGTAATTTTATATTAAGACATCTACACGACATCTGTGGCTTAAGCAGGGGGCTTTGGGTTCAGACCTCTGTTCCCCTCTGTTCTCTAACAGTGAATCGCTCAACATTTTCTTTTTCTCTTTCTACCCTACCCTCCATCTCTCTTTCTTTTTTTTCTTTCTCCCAGATCTGGACCAGATGGCTGTTTTACCTTATTTTCTTCCCCAGCTGTAGCATTCCACCTCCTCGCAGCTCCCTGTCTGCTGATTTCTGGCTCTCTGCCACTTTTGTCCAAAAAAAAAATAGAAAAACCTCAGTGGTTAGTTTCTGCTTTCAGCCTCGTGCGGCCTCCCTACGGCAACCATAGCTGACCTTTTCTACCTTCTGCTGGATTGCTGTGGACCTCAGAGCCTTGGCTCAGCTGCTGAGAATCTTTAAAGACTTCTATAGCTGTCTTTATTGAGCAGAGCTTTAAGTGTGTTGTGTGTTTTATGACATGCCAGTAGAAGAACATCTGGAGCAGGACATTATGTTTAAGAATCATTCAGGTTGTAACTCTCCTGTAATGGGTTCGTCCAATAAAAGGATGAGCTGTGCGTGTTAATGTGGTTGATGAAAGAGGTGAGAGTGGGCACTATGACCATGTTTATCGTTATCGTGATCAACTGCATCACATTACTTCACAATGTGCTTTTCTGAGCAAACAGTAAATATTGTCAGTACTTAAATAACACTGACCAGCTGTACAGGTGTCAAGCCATATGGTTTACCCATATCAAATATGTTTTTTTTTTTAAACATTTTCGGAGGTATGAGGCCGTGTAAGGACGGGATATGTGAAATCTAGTCTAATACAGTTTTACTCTTAACTCTGGTCATTTAAAATCAATGAATCTGTCATGCTGGACTGTGAATACATTGATATTGCTAGTGATTTTGATGATAGAAATGCGCTACATGCAAAGCATCCAAAGCTGTGAATGTAAAGGTTACTGTCTGCAACTGCATGTTTCATAACAAAGTTGAATGAATCAGAATCATAGTATTCATAGGTTTTCAAAGTTTGTTTTTAAATGGGGCATTGCTGGTTCTTTTTTGTGTATTCCAACTTTTTAAATCTCAGAAAAACTAAGTGTATCATATAAAGAGAAAATTGTTGGTGAACTGTGAGCTGGGCCTTCGGTTTGGGCCATAAATGTCAAAACTCTGTTAAAAACTGCTCCACAATAATGATGTCATCTACCAACACCCTTATGAGATTTCAGTGGTATGTTAGCACCAAACAAACAGTGATGCACACAGTACATTTTTTGGCATTTCTGGATTAAACATGGACATTTGAAGCTTGTAACAGACATTAGTACATATTTTCCCTCGTATGTAGCAGTTTAGATTGACGCCTCCAGTAAAGAGACTCATAGAGCTGTCGCTGTTTTCCATTTCCCCCTTCAGTCAGGCTACCACTTGTACTCACATGTAGTTACACCGATCAGGCATAATATTATGACCACCTCCTTGTTTCTACGCTCATTGTCCATTTTTTCAGCTCCACTTACTATATAGGTGCACTTTGTAGTTCTACAGTTACAGACTGTAGTCCATCTGTTTCTCTGCATACTTTGTTAGCCCCCTTTTACCCTGTTTTTCAGTGGTCAGGATCCCCATGGACCCTCACAGAGCAGGTTCTGTTTGGGTGGTGGATCATTCTCAGCACTGCAGTAACACTGACGTGGTGGTGGTGTGTTGGTGTGTGTTGTGCTGGTCTGAGTGGATCAGACACAGCAGTGCTGCTGGATTTTTTAAACACTGTGTCCACTCACTGTCCACTCTATTAGACACTCCTACCTTGTCAGTCCACCTTGTAAATGTAAAGTCAGAGATGATAGCTCATCTGCTGCTGCACAGTTTGTGTTGGTCATCCTCTAGTCCTTCACCAGTGGTCACAGGACGCTGCCCACAGGACGCTGTTGGCTGGCTATTTTTGGTTGGTGGACTATTCTCAGTCCAGCAGTGACACTGAGGTGGTTAAAAACTCCAGCAGCACTGCTGTGTCTGATCCACTCGTACCAGCACAACACACACTAACACACCACAACCACATCAGTGTTACTGCAGTGCTGAGAATGATCCACCACCCAAACAGAACCTGCTCTGTGAGGGTCCATGGGGGTCCTGAGCACTGAAGAACAGGGTAAAAGGGGGCTAACAAAGTATGCAGAGAAACAGATGGACTACAGTCTGTAACTGTAGAACTACAAAGTGCACCTATATAGTAAGTGGAGCTGATAAAATGGACAATGAGCATAGAAACAAGGAGGTTGTCATAATGTTATGCCTGATCGGTGTGTGTATCTAGAACTTCCAGAAGGCCTAGAGTGACACTGGCCTAAACAATGGGAGAGCTTGCTTGGCTGTATTTACCTGGATACCACAGCGGAAAAAAGTCCTGATCGGATAGTTTTTCCATTGGGCATTTCAAGACTTTAATGCTTTTGTTACCAACCAAAACTTAATGGATTACTGTAATAATTGCAAGGTTTACATGCAAACCTGATTTTGTTGACTTAAAATTAAGTACAAATTACAAACGTATTACTTTATTAATTATTAATTTTTTTGAGGGAGATAAACTAGGTATCGGATGCTGACTGTAAAATGCTGGAGCTTTGGAAATGATTAAGCTAACACCGTCACACAAAGGACAGTCACAATGGATTTTTTTCATGTGATTTATTCTAATGTTAGTGTTTTTTTTAACAGTTAAATGCTTACTGCACAGATGCATGGCTGTACATATTATGTATATATGTGTATATGTGCAGGAGGTGTGCAGTGAGCTGTGGTGTATGAGTAAGAGTAACCGCTGTATAACCAGCAGCATCCCAGCAGCTGAAGGCACCATCTGCCAAACCAGCACTATAGAGAAAGGGGTGAGTTCTGAGGACAAATCCACCAGCTCCTTCTGAAAATCTGATACCTAGTACTGTTAAATACACCCTAATACTGTTTTATATGACCACAACATTCATTTGTAATAAAAGCTATTTGCAACCGTTTTTCTTGCTGCATGATTCACTTGTTGCGAAAAGTGGTTTGGAGGATTTTTTTCTGGACTGTTAATTAACATAAGGCCATATTTATTAAGCATTATTGCATGTTATACATGTTGTCTGTAAAATAGTGATCGAGAATTATTAGAAAATCACCACCTCAAAGTTTAAGCCTATTATTCTGTTAAAGGGCCCATATGCTGCATCATTTTCTTTGTATTAATTTTTTTCCCCGAGAGGCACTTTTTTGGTAAGATTATATACTAAAAAGAGTCATAATTCATTTTTACATGACAATTTTTTCAACCTTTCCTGATTGCTTATAATTAAACAGGCTGTTTTTGTTACTCTGCCTTTCACACACACACACATATATATATATATATATATATATATATATATATATATAATATATATAATATATATAGATATAAGCTCTGTTCTGATTGGCTGGCCTTTATTGTGCCTTGTGCAAAAAGTAGAAACAGTGTGAAATACTCCTTATAACAGTAGTAAGAATGGGTGGGGCTAAACTGCTGTAGGTTGAAGTTGAATAGTGGCATCACAAAAACAGTGAATTCAAAATGGGCCTTTTATGTAGCTTAGTTTCCATTTATGAACTGTACAAAGGAATTTAGCCATTTTAAACTCTTTTTAAATAAAAGTGAGAGCACTTTTGTTCTCCATGTTTTGGGCCCTTTAAGACTTTATTTTTATAAGGGATTGAAGGGATTGAACATGCGTCCTGAATGCCGACCTTTGCAGTTTTGCAGTTTGCCAGAAGTCTTATAATTCAGTCCTTAACAGTGAATCTTTCCAAGAAGTCAAATGTGGTGAACAGTAACCTGTAGCCACTGTTTTGGCTCTGAATTGCCAGCATGTTTATTTCAGGGTTGGAATGAAACTTAAGTGAATTCACTCAGACTTTTCCCTGTGTGTCCACTCAGTGGTGCTATAAGCGAGTGTGCGTGCCCTACGGGACGCGGCCGGAGGGAGTGGACGGCCAGTGGGGTTCGTGGACGCCGTGGGAAGAGTGCAGTCGCACCTGTGGGGGCGGAGTCTCCTCCTCCATCCGCCACTGTGATAGTCCCAGGTGGGTCAGCTCGCTGGATGTTTATCTATTGGTGACATGTCGTTGCGTTCTTAGGAGAGGGGCTTAATGTATGGGTGGGTGATATGGCAAAATGTCTCATCACAGTATACAGTGAATGAAGTGGTTTTGGCGCCCCTGTCTAATTACATGTTTTGTTGACTTTCTAAGTGAAAATTAAGTAACTAAGTCAAAGTTAACACATCCTTTACAGAGAACAAATGCATATTGTAGTACATAATCACAGATTATTTGCTGAATTTGAGCATGAAATGTGGCTGTGCAAAAGTTATTGAACATTTGATATTGAGATATTGAACATCTTGTGTTTTTTAATATTTGTTCAACCCAACAAATAGAAATTGTGCACTAAAATGTACAGAAAAATGCCATATTTATGTTTATTTCTGTTAACTCATTTTGCTTAGAAAATCAACCAACGTCGTTTTACTGAAGGTGTTCATACTTTTGCATATCATAATTATTAGCACTAAATTCTCAATAAGCTGAACAGTATTTTGAAACTTGAGTTGATTTAAGAAAACCAAACAAATTCCACACAGCAGAGGATGTGTGGCCTTTTTTTGCCTTTTTTGTTCTTAGATTTCCTTATAGCCTTTTTTACTCTCCATAATTTCAGCAATAGGTAGCGCTGCCAGTTGTCCCTGCTGTTGTGAGTGAATGGCTAGACTTCTTCTTCCTACCTGCAGTGAGTAAATCACCGGCTAGTGAACTGAAGTTGCAGTTGCTCAGAGTTAAAGCTTTGCTGCTGAAGCCAGATTGAGGAATAGAGCATGCATAACCATTGTATCATAAATGAATCTGTCTTGCATTTTCCGTATCGGAAAATGTGCAATTTCAAAAGCTTTCGCTAGCCTTTTATTGCCCTGACCTAGTTCTGTGTCACCCCCCGGCACAATTTAACTACACTTACAGCATTCCTCCATGAGTTAGATCAGTCTAGCACTGTTTATGTTGGTTAGTGTGTCCTGACTACGTAACTCTACAGTTATGTTGTTGTGTTATGTTGCTGCGTTTAGAGTCAGTTTCCCTCAGGTGTTATGAGTGAGGTTGCCTCTGCTGACGCCATGACTCATTGGTACATGTTGGTACTTTGCCATTCTCTGGTGGGTCTGACTGCACACCACTCTCAAAAGCAAGTATGTTATAAACAACATGTAGTGTTACTTTTACACAAATATAGAAATAATATGTGTTGACCTGAGTTGTGTTATGTCGTATTCTGTAGTGCAGCCATTGTGTCCCTCAGCCTCAGCAGCTTGGCAGAATTCATGATTTTAGATAATTTTCTTGGTTTTCTTTCTTGACTACAGTACCCAGCATGCATTATTCAAATATATCATAGAACCATTGAGAATCCCTGCAATGTCAGATGTCAAAATCCTGACTGCTAGCCGAGCTTCTGACATATAGGCTATTAAATACCACTAAGCTAGCTTTTCTATAACTCTTACCTCGGTCATCAGACAAAATAGTAAATATAACAGCGATTTTAGTCCATGCAAGTAAGTATTTTTACAACAGATGTAGCGATGGTTACATTTAACAGCGATTAAAGCAATTTAGTAGCAATTTTAAATTTTTTTTGTCCAGAGTTCTTATAAACTATTATGCTAAAAGCTAGTTTTTAAACATAAAGCTGTGTTCTAAGTACACAAACTGTGTCACAGCTTTGCTGCATACCGTCACTGTGACTCCTGGTATGTGTCCTTGCTTTGTGTGCTGTTCTGTATTAAGACTGTGGTAAGAGGTAGCCAACAAAGAGCAGGTTTCTTTTGGCTTTCTGCTTAGTCTTCTGTCAGGAATCCTCAGTTTGCCAGTAGGAGTGGACAATATGGCAAAATACTTCAAGACATTATCGCGATACATAGTGTGCATCATGATATTTAGTTTGATTTAATACATTGGAACAGACGAAATAGAACCTGTATTGCCACATAAAATATAGTAATAATAATTATTATTACCATAATTAACCTACAGTGATTTTATTCAATTTGTTACAAACTGTGCTGTGCTAAATCAGATTAAACAGGCCTAAATATGCTCACTTTGTAATGAAACATGTAGTTAGTCAGTGCTCTTTAAGTACTGATGATATCCATAATATGCCCCGAAAAGCGTGTTGTGTAATTTATCACAATACTGATAAAATGTCACCCCTAATAAAATTGCCCACCCATAATAGCCACAATATTTTATACAAATGTGGTTTTGAAACATGCACAAAAATACCATACTGTGCAGTTTTGTATTTTTCCTGTAAGAAATCTTTTATCTTTTGCGTTTTTGATTGCTTGGAGATGCTCACCTATCTCTACTTTCTTCTTTAGATTTCTTTAAGTCATCTGAGTTGTTCTTCCTCTACTTAGAAAAAAAATGAAATGAGGCTCAGCTTACAAAGTTAACTAAATTTCCCAAACTCTTATTTCTTTTTTTTTGGCTTTTACCTTTGTCCACAAAACTGAATTTATTTATAATTACTTATGTTTAATGCATCTCTCATGTAGGCTTGTCACAAATAAAAATTGCTAGTTCACAGTTATTTAAGCTGATCACAATTATTTCCTACAGTTGTTAGCTTTCACAATCATATGTTTACATCACAACAAACAGATTGTGTATTGGGCGCTTTTTCACCAGTTGGGTTGGGGCAAATAAATGTAAATAAAAGAACACAGTAAACACATTTTTTGAGATATGGTATGAGTCGTAAAACAGCATAAGTTCTACTTTTGTGTTGTACCGGTGCTGTAACACCTTTAGAGGGCGGCGGTGAGCAATGTTTGTTTATTTAATGTTTGTCAATAAAACCTTTAGAGGGCGGCGGTGAGCAATGTTTTTTCAATTGAAGTTCATTAATAACATCTGTAGAGGGCAGCAGTGAGTAATGTTTGTTTAGTTGATGTTCATTAATAACACCTGTAGAGGGCAGCAGTGAGTAATATTTATTTAGTTGATGTTTGTTAATAACACCTTTAGAGGGCGGCGGTGAGCAATGTTTGTTTATTTAATGTTTGTTAATAAAACCTTTAGAGGGCGGCGGTGAGCAATGTTTTTTCAATTGAAGTTCATTAATAACATCTGTAGAGGGCAGCAGTGAGTAATGTTTGTTTAGTTGATGTTCATTAATAACACCTTTAGAGGGCAGCAGTGAGTAATGTTTATTTAGTTGATGTTCATTAATAACACCTTTAGAGGGCGGCGGTGAGCAATGTTTGTTTATTTAATGTTTGTTCACAACACCTTTATAGGGTGGCAGTGAGTAATGTTTGTTTAGTGGATGTTTGTTAATAACACCTTTAGAGGGCGGCAGTGAGTAATGTTTGTTTAGTTGATGTTTGTTAATAACACCTTTAGAGGGCAGCAGAGAGTAATGTTTGTTTAACTGATGTTCATTAATAACATCTGTAGAGGGCAGCAGTGAGTAATGTTTGTTTAATTGATGTTCATCAATAATAACATCTGTAGAGGGCAGCAGTGAATAATGTTTGTTTAGTTGATGTTCATTAATAACATCTGTAGAGGGCAGCAGTGAGTAATGTTTGTTTAGTTGATGTTCATTAATAACATCTGTAGAGGGCAGCAGTGAGTAATGTTTGTTTAGTTGATGTTCGTTAATAACACCTTTAGAGGGCGGCGGTGAGCAATGTTTGTTTAATTGATGTTCATTAATAAAATCTGTAGAGGGCAGCAGTGAGTAATGTTTGTTTAATTGATGTTCAATAATAATATCTGTAGAGGGCAGCAGTGAGTAATGTTTGTTTAATTGATGTTCAATAATAACATCTGTAGAGGGCAGCAGTGAGTAATGCTTGTTTAGTTGATGTTTGTTAATAACACCTTTAGAGGGCGGCGGTGAGCAATGTTCGTTTATTTAATGTTTGTTCACAACACCTTTATAGGGTGGCAGTGAGCAATGTTTGTTTAATTGTTGTTCATTAATAACATCTGTAGAGGGCAGCAGTGAGTAATGCTTGTTTAGTTGATGTTCGTTAATAACACCTTTAGAGGGCGGCGGTGAGCAATGTTTGTTTAATTGATGTTCATTAATAAAATCTGTAGAGGGCAGCAGTGAGTAATGTTTGTTTAATTGATGTTCAATAATAACATCTGTAGAGGGCAGCAGTGAGTAATGCTTGTTTAGTTGATGTTTGTTAATAACACCTTTAGAGGGCGGCGGTGAGCAATGTTCGTTTATTTAATGTTTGTTCACAACACCTTTATAGGGTGGCAGTGAGCAATGTTTGTTTAATTGTTGTTCATTAATAACATCTGTAGAGGGCAGCAGTGAGTAATGTTTGTTTAATTGATGTTCATTAATAATATCTGTAGAGGGCAGCAGTGAGTAATGTTTGTTTAATTGATGTTCATTAATAACATCTGTAGAGGGCAGCAGTGAGTAATGTTTGTTTAATTGAAGTTCATTAATAACATCTGTAGAGGGCAGCAGTGAGTACTGTTTGTTTAGTTGATGTTCGTTAATAACACCTTTAGAGGGCAGCAGTGAGTAATGTTTGTTTAATTGATGTTCATTAATAACATCTGTAGAGGGCAGCAGTGAGTACTGTTTGTTTAGTTGATGTTCGTTAATAACACCTTTAGAGGGCAGCAGTGAGTAATGTTTGTTTAATTGATGTTCATTAATAACATCTGTAGAGGGCAGCAGTGAGTAATGTTTGTTTATTTGATGTTTGTTAATACCTTTAGACAGCTAATCACCCAATGTAATCACTCAACCTTGTATTTTAATTGGTGCAAACAATGAGCAGACAGTAAAATTGTTGATCCCTGATGTTTGGCTGTGGATCCTCAGCTAAAGTTTCATGAGTGTAACAGCCCTGCGAGGGGGTTTGTTAATGCACTTTAAATGCATGAATGGAAAAATGATATCATAATTGTTAATGTGCATATTGTGATGTTAACTACCAGTGGTATAATGAAATCAGGCAACTAACTAAAGATCTGGATGAATAGTGGATATTAATCAGATGTGTTAGAGCAATAAAGTGAGCAGCCAGCTGCTTCATGGACCACTGCCATGCAGACATCTCATTCATCTCATTTTTTCAATAAAACTGACTGCATTTATTTATTTATATTTCTGCCGTATTATTTCACAACATTCCTGTGACTCAGCCCAGTGTACTCACTGAACCCGGAGCTGAAGAGATTATAACTGGTGAAGAATCCAAACGAAGGCCAGCTGACAGACAGAGAGTCTGGCTGGAATAAGTCGGGGTGGTGTTGACGGGCTGATTTGAGAGTTGTTGTGAAATCAGCCTCAGATTTCGATTACGATTTGTTTACACGTGTGTTTTTTTTTCCTTGCGTCCAGGCCGACCGTCGGAGGACGCTTCTGTTTGGGGGAGAGGAAGCGTTTCAAATCCTGCAACATTGAAGTGAGTCTCAAAGAGGCATGGTTTATTCTCTCTGCTGATTTCTTTGGAGTGAAGTAGTCTTGTGAGGCTTTAATGCTTTAGTGCTAATTCTGCTTTTGAATCTGCTCGTCTGCTTTGTTGCCATGATTTCTCAATGCTGTCGTCACGTTTATTTTGATATGTAAACGATATCCTACTAGCCTGCAAGTCTGTGGAGTTCTGTTTTGATTGTCTGATAAAGCCTCATTCTGAAACACGTGTATAGGAACACGCTTCTGCTAATTCATTGGTCTTTGAGCAATACTGTAATGCAACAAACCAATAATAGGCGTTTCCATAGCAATGTGAATGCGATGCATTATCAGGCATATTGAACTGGTTTGAATACAGTCATTTTAAGGTGACACTCTGGTCCCCTGCTTCTCTCTGTCATTACTACCTGCTTATTAGTTTCATAGTAGCTACTAAAAAAGTGTACATGTGTACAACTGCAGCACTCCAGTGCCACTATCTCACAGTATAGGACTCCCTCTCTTTCATTAATCTGAATATTTATAGTAGATACTGAACAATTCATAGTAGACACTGAATAATTTGTAGTAGATACTGAATCATTTGTAGTAGATACTGAATAATTTGTAGTAGATACTGAATAATTCATAGTAGATACTGAACAATTTGTAGTAGATACTAAATAATTTGTAGTAGTTACTGAATAATTCATAGTAGTTACTGAACAATTTGTAGTAGATACTAAATCATTTGTAGTAGATACTAAATAATTCATAGTAGTCACTGAATAATTTGTAGTAGTTACTGAATGATTCATAGTAGTTACTGAATGATTCATAGTATCATTAATTGTAGATACTGAATAATTCATAGTAGATACTAAATAATTTGTAGTAGTTACTGAATAATTCATAGTAGATACTGAACAATTTGTAGTAGATACTAAATAATTCATAGTAGTTACTGAACAATTTGTAGTAGTTACTAAATAATTTGTAGTAGATACTAAATAATTCATAGTAGTCACTAAATAATTTGTAGTAGATACTAAATAATTCATAGTAGTCACTGAATAATTCATAGTAGTTACTGAATAATTTGTAGTAGTTACTGAATGATTCGTAGTATCATAATTGTAGATACTGAATAATTCATAGTAGATACTGAACAATTTGTAGTAGATACTAAATAATTTGTAGTAGTTACTGAATAATTCATAGTAGTTACTGAACAATTTCTAGTAGTTACTAAATAATTTGTAGTAGATACTAAATAATTCATAGTAGATACTGAACAATTTGTAGTAGATACTAAATAATTTGTAGTAGTTACTGAATAATTCATAGTAGTTACTGAACAATTTCTAGTAGTTACTAAATAATTTGTAGTAGTTACTCAATAATTCATAGTAGATACTGAACAATTTGTAGTAGATACGAAATAATTTGTAGTGGTTACTGAATAATTCATAGTAGTTACTGAACAATTTGTATTAGATACTAAATAATTTGTAGTAGATACTAAATAATTCATAGTAGTCACTGAATAATTCATAGTAGTTACTGAATAATTTGTAGTAGTTGCTGAATGATTCATAGTAGTTACTGAATGATTCATAGTAGTTACTGAATGATTCGTAGTATCATTAATTGTAGATACTGAACAATTTGTAGTTGATACTAAATAATTTGTAGTAGATACTAAATAATTCATAGTAGTCACTGAATAATTTGTAGTAGTTACTGAATAATTTGTAGTAGTTACTGAACAATTTGTAGTAGATACTAAATAATTTGTAGTAGTTACTGAATAATTCATTGTAGTTACTAAATAATTTGTAGTAGATACTAAATAATTTGTAGTAGATACTAAATAATTCATAGTAGATACTGAATAATTTGTAGTAGATACTAAATAATTTGTAGTAGTTACTCAATAATTCATAGTAGATACTGAACAATTTGTAGTAGATACTAAATAATTTGTAGTAGTTACTGAATAATTCATAGTAGTCACTGAATAATTTGTAGTAGTTACTGAATGATTCGTAGTAGTTACTGAATGATTCGTAGTAGTTACTGAATGATTCGTAGTATCATTAATTGTAGATACTGAACAATTTGTAGTTGATACTAAATAATTTGTAGTAGATACTGAATTTATAGTAGTTACTGAACAATTTGTAGTAGTTACTGAATAATTTGTAGTAGTTGCTGAATGATTCATAGTAGTTACTGAATGATTCGTAGTATCATTAATTGTAGATACTGAATAATTCATAGTAGATACTGAACAATTTGTAGTAGATACTAAATAATTTGTAGTAGTTACTGAGATATAAATCTTAAGAATAATAAATGAATAATAAACTCACAGTATGAAGGGTCAGTAATGACTCATTGTTTGCCTTATGTAACAAAAGAAAAGTGACAGTTTTAAAGTTTGAGTGTTTATTAGATGATGACATGTAGAACCAAGATAACTCAAGGAACCATTTGAACACTTAAATGGTTCTTTGCCTGGTTGCTTCTTCTCTATGATGGATAAAATAACATATGTGGGTTTTTGTAGCATCAAAAAAGGTTCCACTATTGTTACTCGTCAAAGAACCCTTTTATAGCAGTACACAGAGGGAGTTTGGCTAAGAGTGTAGCTTCTCTGCCAGACTGATCACTGTTTTATATTTTGTTTGTGTGTGTGTGTGTGTGTGTGTGTGTGTGTGTGTGTGTTGCAGGAGTGCCCTGCAGGATCTCAGGATTTCCGGGAGATCCAGTGCTCTGATTTTGACAGCGTTCCTTTCCGAGGGAAATTCTACACCTGGAAGCCGTACAGGGGCGGTGAGTAAAAAAAAACAAAACACTAACACAGAAAACAGTTTCACTTCCAAAATGAAAAAAAACATCCACTTTTACAGTCGTATGCAAACATTTTGTTCATATTCTAAGTGAAAATAAGTGACCACATCCTCTGTAGGGAACATAAATATGGCATTTTTAATGCAAGTCTTTCTATTTATTCTATTTATTAACATATTGGATAAAACAAAACATGCTGGTACTTTTGCACAGGCAATATTTTATTTTTTCAGCAAATAAACAGTGACTGTGCATTAAAATGTGCAGAAGTGTGTTCTCTGTTGAGAACCCTAACTTAAATCAACAACATGTAATTTAAGCAGGGGTGCCCAAACTTTTGCATATGACTGTATATACAGATGGGAGCCGTTCACATGGCTGAAATCTATCCAGTATAGTGACATGCGACTTCTCCAAGGTGTCCCATTCAATTGATCCGTGCTTTTATACAGTATATAAGATTTTACGTGCAACTTAAAGCAGGTGAATTCACTAATTAGAAGAGCTGTCCAGATACTTTTGGACAGATAGTTGTAGATATTGTGTACTCAGACTGCTGCAGAAATTCTTTCTTTTCTTCATCATCCACTCGCTCTCCCTCCTCCCTCTGTAGTTATTGGAAAAAACAGTGGAAACAAGGGTGTGTTGACAGAAGTTGGTGGGTTTAGTAATAATTACTTTAATGTAGGACAACCTTTGTTTTTGAGCCTCTCTCGTTCTCTCTCTCTCTCTCTTTCTCTGTCTCACTCGCTGTCTCTCTCTCGGCTCAGACGTCTCTAGCAGCCGCTCGGCTTCCGCTCAGACAGCCAAGCACAGTTCATAAAAAGCCATGCTGCGTTTCATACAGCCGTGTTTATATGCATGCAGGCAGGAGCCGTCCGCATGGCTGTAATCCGTCCAAAATCCCCTCAGCACGTCCAGCACACACCACCACCTCCACCCTGACCCTGTCTCCACGCTCCAACTCAGCTGCACCGACAACTCTCGCCTCCCAGAGCAAAGCATCTTGGGAATTGTAGTTTCCATCAGCGGAGTGCTTCAAGATAAAGCGTACTTATGAAGTCGTTTTGCCAACAGTTGCTACATTTTCAAAGAAATTGGTGACTGAATGTCAGGACTGTCGAAGTTAGCACATTAATAAAAACGCCTTTATTGTATTATTCTGCATTTTCCTACTTTGACACTTCAAACTATTAGTAGTAGGGCAGGTTAAAGCCCAGCTGCAGTGTGTGCAGCTTTTAAAGCGATACCTTCAGCACCTTCAGCAGGCTGTGCTGGACAGTGTTTGCTATGTATAAATCAACAAGCAGCAAACTAACAAAAGCAACAACAAAGCCGAAAGCTACAGTTCCCCTTGAGAGCCTCCACCATAACAAGAATCCACAGGCTGTATGAACGAGAGTGAGAGGCTACTATCACAGATTGATTGTATGTTATATAAACACGCGATGGTTGAACATGCAGCGACTCTCCTTGGACGTAAAATTTCACAATCACATGATTTTCATGTTCAGGTTCAAGGGAACCCTGCAACTACAGTTGTACTGTAAATGAGATTTAAATGAGATTATTGGCCAACATAGGGCGGCACGGTGGCGCAGTGGTTAGCGCTGTTGCCTCACAGCAAGAAGGGCCTGGGTTCGATTCCCGGCCGGGTGACCAGGGTCGTTTCTATGTGGAGTTTGCTTGTTCTCCCCGTGTCTGCGTGGGTTTCCTCCGGGTACTCCGGTTTCCTCCCACAGTCCAAAGACATGTGTGAATGTATATGTCTGTTTTTCTGCCCTGTGATGGACTGGCGACCCAGGGTGTATCCTGCATTCTGCCCAATGACAGCTGGGATAGGCTCCAGCACCCCACCGTGACCCAGAAGGATAAGTGGTTTAGATGATGTGTGTGTTGGCCAACATATTCCTTGAGTATAAAGCACCAGTGAGTGCTTTGCTTTGCATGACCTGGAGCAGGCGGGAGAGAGAACTGAAGCATGTCATGCCATGTGAAAGGGACACTGTTAAGAACAAATGCAAAGAAAACACATAAACATTGTTTTTTAAGCGTCTTTGTCTTTGCACATCACATGCGCATGCTGGTTCACTGCTGTTTGTTCCTTTCTGCAGGAGGCTGGTTTACTCGTCTACCACAAACAGTAAAACCACAGAAGTAAAGATAATACAGGGTCTCGACCCTCTCTTTCTTATGGTTTTCATTGTCGGACGGGAAGGAATGTTAAAAGGTTTATTCTTAAACGGTACTAAAATTTGTGTTTCCTCTGTGTTGGATATTCATTGCTACTATATGAAGCTCCGCCCCAAAGCAGTAAAAAAACTTTAAAAAACTCAATTTCGCATGTCAAAGTTCACCAGAGTTGAACTCGTTGCAACATTTTGCATGTTAAATTTATTGCCCCTGCAAGTTTGGGAATCGAAATTGCTCATTGCAGCAGTTTCCATTGAAGTGAATGTGAGTTCACTGATGAAAATTTGCCAGGCAAATGCTAGTGTGACCGGGCCTTCACCCGTGGCTGCTCTTGTATTGAATTTGGATTCGGTTTAAAATAGTTTCACGTATCTAGTTACAACCGGGCCATTTCAGTCAGTCCATCAACGATCAACCCAGTGAAAGCAGCATCAACAGAAGGCCTGATGTCGCCAATGAGGTATATAGCAGAAGTGAAGTTCTGCACTGTAACAGCAAATGGCATTTTACAAGCCACAGCGCAAATTCAGATATGATTTTCTTCTGCATATGAGGCGTCATCGTTCTGGCCGTGCCTAAAAACTCTAATAAAATTAAAATTCTAATATTCTAATAATGAAAGCTTCTGTTTAAGGTGCAAACTAGCAACATATCAGTCTTTATTCATCTGAAAATCAGGCTATTTATGAAGGAAAACCAGAGCTAGAACTGCACTAACTAGAATAAAACCAAATAGTTATCAGAATTCTCTCTCTCTCTCTGTCTCTCTCTCTCTCTCTCTCTCTCTCTCTCTCTCCCTCCTTTTCCTCTTTTCCCTGGCTTTTTTCCTTTCTCTCTTTTTCTCTCCCCCCTTTTCTTTCTGTTTAATTATCTTTCTCATCTTTCTCTCTCCCTTACTCTTTTCTCTTTTCTTTTCTTTCTCTCACTTTTTCTCTTTTTAGTTCTCCCACTTCTCTCTTTCTGTTTCCTTCTTTCTCATCTTTCCTTTCCTCACTCGTTTCCTCCTCTTAACTAACTCTCTCTCACTTTTTCTTTTTCTCTCTCCCCCTTCGCTCTCTCTGTGTTTGCTTCTTTCTCGTCTTTCTCTTTTTCTGAGTCTTTAGCTCTTCTTGATTCCTTCTCTCACTTTTTCTCTTTGTTTCTTTCTCTATTTCCTTGTTCTCTCCCTCACTTTTTCCTTCTCTTTCTCTCTTACTTTTCCCTTGTTTCTTTTTCTCCCCTTCTCTCTTTCTATTTCTTTCTTTCTTGTCTTTCTTTCTCTCACTCTTTTCCTCTTTATTCTCTCTCTCTCTTGCTTTTTTCTCATTTTTCCCTCCCCCCCTCCTCTCTCTCTCTCTCTCTAAATTTTCTTCTTTTCATCTTTCTTTCCTGTTCTTTATTCTTTCTCTTTTGCTTTTTTGCTTTTTTCTCAACCTTTTCTCTCTATTTCCTTGCTCTCTCCCTCACTCTTTTTCTTCTCTTTCTTCTCTCTCACCTTTTCTCCTTGCTCTCTCTCCCCATCTCTCTCTATTTCCTTCTCTTCTGCATCTCCCTCACTCTTTTTCTCCTCTTTCTTTTCCATCTTGCTCCTTCTCTCTCTTTCTTTTGCCCCTCTTTCCTTCTCTGTCTCTCCTTACTGCTCTAGCTATTATTTCCCTTTCCCCCTCTATTTCCCTCTTTCTCATCTCTTTCCCCTTCTTTCCTATTCCTTTACTCTCTCTCTCTCTCTCTCTCTCTCTCTCTCTCTCTCTCTCTCTCTCGCTCTCTCTTTCTCTCTCTCTCTCTCCCCCCATTATATGACTGTGCAGGTTTTTTTGTTCTGCAGCTGTTGGGGAATGTGCTGATGGTGCATTCGTTCTGCTGGTTCGTTTGCTGTGGCTCGGTTTCTATAGGACAGACAGACGAGAGGCCGTAGTAAAAGAGTGCATGTGTGTAGGACTGTTAATCAGACTGAGCTGTTTGTAAGCGAGCCAACTAAAATGTGCTCTCTCCCTTCTGGACCCCTCTTTCTCTCTCTCCCTCTCTCTTCCCCTCTCTCTCTCGTTCTCTTACGCTCCCTCTCTTTCGGGCCTCTGGCTCTGGAGCCTCTAACAGCTGTTGAAGAACAAACTAACTTACATAAAAGCCCCCAAAAAGCTCATTAAAATTCCGCGCGTATCCATCAGCCGCTTTTATGAGCCTCGGCCGCGCTCTCTGAGACACACTCCGGCACTTTCCTTTCGCAACTCAACGCGCTCCGACTGTGTGAGAGTCCCCATTGTTGCAGGAGTATTAAATTTAGGGTCAAATTTGTGAGCAATTTGTTTTCGGGGTCTGTATTGCCAATGTGCGATGTTGTAAATTTAACAGTGCGGAGTGCAGCGGGGCTGCTGTGCCCTGTGGGTGAGGAACCGGCTTTAAATCACCATATAAAAACATCCAGTGCATGCGTCAGCCCCGGAGACACTGAAGCTGATCCACAGCTGCTCAATCAGTTAGGCTGTATTTGTTAAAGCGATGGTTTGTTGGGAAAAAATCCTGTTACCCAAAATGTGGTCAGTCCGTGTTTGCTTCAAGGTACTGCCCAGTAAATACACCCTTAAGGGTACAACATGGCACTTAAGGTCGGTATCTTAAATGAGTTTTAAAGGTACACTGCATTCACTTTCCCAAGGGTAAAGGAGCATATTCATACCTTTTCAGGACTTAAAGGGGAATTCCACAGATTTTTCAGAGTTTCTCAAATAAATGATCAAGATTCAGAGTCATTCAGAGTGGTTTGATGTGAAATGCTGAGTGACAGGAACCAGATGTCTGAAGAGTTTAATGCCTCTAAAAGCTCCCCATCAGAAAGTTGTTACATGAAATGGCTATTAATACACTGCCTGATACCTGAGACATTATTTACAATATTTAAAAAGATTTTGGGCTAAAACATATTTGTAGAAGGCCATTCACAGCGGAGAGGCACATGTAAGGAAAAACAGTCCCCAAATGAAATATGTTTTTTTCACATGTAACACTATCATCATCAACATTACATATAAACACTCAGAAGACACCAGTAGGTTCACTGGTGGTTTTGGATGGTAAATAAAATGGCTATATCTGCGTTGTAGTCATGGCGACCCCTGGTTCCTATCACCACCACTGTAAAGAAGTCACAAAGTCTCTCTACAATAAACCTTTTAACACCAATCCACTCGGAATAACTTTGCTTACATCTCGTTGATTTAATTATGCAGAAAGTTTGAAAGATTCACCTCATAGCTCATAGCAGCGAGATCCCGAGGTCTACACTCAGGAGAAAATGGATATAAAGCAGTGACTCAATTCAGGAGAGTACAGTTTAGTGCAGCCAAAAAGATGCTTATGTTTAATTTATATGGCCAAATATATATTTAACATATTTATTATACAGTCATATGCAAATGTTTGGGAATCCCTCGTCAGATGACATGTTTTGTTGTCTGTCTAAATGAAAATAAATGAACACATCCTCTACAGAAAAAAATCCTGCAAATTATATATTTTTATTTGTTTGCTGAGTTTAATTAAACATAAAAAATAAACATAAATTATAAATTGTTCCATGACTTTTACACAGACCACATTTTATGCTTTACTTTTCCCCGGTATGTTAAATTCAGCAAATAAACAGTAATTATGCATTAGAGTGTGCAGAAGTGCGCTCCCTATAGAGGATGTGTGAACTTTTGCATGTGACTGTCCGTAATTTGTTGTATGTGAAGTAATAGAGATCTAAGATTAAACAGAAGAAGGTGAACATCTTGCAATATCAGCAGCGCACAACGAAAGAACAGCGCAGCATGGAAAACTTTGGGATGTTTTCAGATTATTTATTTATTTATTTGTCCCTGGTCTAATGATGGCTAATGTTGTCTCTGTCGTGTTTTGTCCTGCACTTTGGGTGATGATGAGCTGCTTCGGGTCTATTACGGGCAGAATTTTTTTGGGCTTGTGTCATATTTGGACTCTAAACTTAGTGCTGTGACTTGAGTCGGGCTGGGAAAGAAATTTAGCGGGCTGTAGGTTTCAGGTTCAGATGAAAATATTAAGCCTGATTAAAACTCTGCTGTAAACTGTGTGGAGTTATTCTTGCTGATCGCTGTTGTCAGAAGAAAACCTTATATCTCCATTTTCGTTTTTCATTTTTTTACATCATCTGAAAATACCTGTTGACCTTTACATTGTGTGTAAATTTCATGATGAATGGACCAACAGAAATGACCCAAAATGACTTGAAAAAAAGTCTGGTTCCATTGACTTACATTAAAAGTAGAGTAGGTTTTTTCCTTCTCCTGTAAAGTTACCGTTTGGAGATACAAGGTTTTCTTCCAACAACAGTGATATGTTCTTTCTAACATTATATGTTTTTACAAATATGGAACATCACTTGGCTAAAAACAGCCAATTCTGTGAGATTATTTAGGCATCAGTTTGCACTGTGCTAATCTGTGGGGTATAAGCTTCCATCACTTATTAGCTACATTACCCTCATAACTCCAGTGCAAAAGTACAGAAGGTAACATCAGATTAAAATGATTATGAGATTAAAATGTCTTGCCTGATCAATATTTCAGGGTAAGATGGAAAAAATAATTAATTTTTTTTTTACCAAGCTATTGCTTTAATTTGACCTCCTTTAAAACTTGGACTTTTAAGGCTCAAAATGATGTTCAGGGCTGGGTTTCCCAACAGCATCTTAGCACAAAGCTAATTAAGCTTAGCTAGTTAAGATGATCCTAACACACTGTTGCTTTGGAGAAACTGGGCCCAGCCGAGTGGGATGGAGGTAAGAAAGTGTGACGTGGCTCCTGTGTATCAGTAACAGTGAGCTGCTGTGTGTGTGTGCAGGTGGGGTGAAGTCCTGCTCCCTGAACTGCTTGGCTGAAGGCTACAACTTCTACACTGAGCGCGCTCCGGCTGTGGTGGATGGGACGCCCTGCAGAGATGACTCTCTGGACGTGTGTGTTAACGGAGAGTGCAAGGTGAGAGGGCTAAGCGCACACACACACACACACACACACACACACAGGGGCAAACATACAAGCAAACACAAAAGACAGATATACAGTACTGTGCAAAAGTTTTAGGCACCTGAGAATTAGATTTGAGATTTAAAGGCTGTTTATCTGGGCAGTAAGTGTTTTATTTGCTCAGAAAACACTTAATATAGTTAAAAAAGAACATTAATATAGTAAGTAGTAGGGGGGTACAGACATAAATTTCAAGATACGATATGTATTGTTGTTTTTGCATATTTTGACATAGAAAAAATGCTAACATACACTATATTGCCAAAAGTATTTGCCTTCACATGCATATGAACTTGAGTGACATCCCATTCTTAATCCATAAGGTTTAATATGATGACCCTTTGCAGCTATAACAGCTTCAGCTGTTCTGGGAAGGCTTTCCACAAGGGTTAGGAGTGTTTATGGGAATTTTTGATAATTCTTCCAGAAACACATTTGTGAGGTCAGACACTGATGTTGGACGAGAAGGCCTGGCTCGCAATCTCCACTCTAATTCATCCCAAAGGTGTTCTATTGGGTTTAGGTCAGGGCTCTGTGCAGGCCAGTCAAGTTCTTCCACACCAAACTCGCTCATCCATGGACATCCCCAAACTGTTCCCACAAAGTTGGGAGCATGAAATTGTCCAAAATCTCTTGTTCTGTTGAAGCATTAAGAGTTCCTTTCACTGGAACTAAGGGGCCGAGCCCACCTCCTGAAAAACAACCCCACACCATAATCCCCCCTCCACCAAACTTTACACTTGGCACAATGCTGTCAGACAAGTACCGTTCTCCTGGCAACCTCCAAACCCAGACTCATCCATCGGATTGCCAGACGGAGAAGCGTGATTGGTCACTCCAGAGAACACGTCTACACTGCTCTAGAGTCCAGTGGCGGCGCTTTACACCACTGCATTCGACGCTTTGCATTGCGCTTGGTGGGGTAAGGCTTGGATGCAGCTGCTCGGCCATGGAAACCCATTCCATGAAGCTCTCTACGCTGTTCTTGAGCTGATCTGAAGGCCACATGAAGTTTGGAGGTCTGTAGCGATTAACTCTGCAGAAAGTTGGCGACCTCTGCGCACTATGCGCCTCAGCATCCGCTGACTCCTCCCTGTCATTTTACGTGGCCGACCACTTCGTGGCTGAGTTGCTGTCATTCCCAAACACTTCCACTCTGTTATAACACCACTGACAGTGGACTGTGGAATATTTAGTAGTGAGGAAATTTCACGACTGGACTTGCTGCACAGGTGGCATCCTATCAAGGCACCACGCTGGAATTCACTGAGCTCCTGAGAGCGACACATTCTTTCACTAATGTCTGTAGAAGCAGTCTGCAGGCCTAGGTGCTTGGCTTTATACACCTGTGGCCATGGAAGTGATTGGAACACCTGAATTCAATGATTTGGATGGGTGAGTGAATACTTTTGGCAGTATAGTGTACCTCAACATTTATTTTTTGATATTTCACAAAAAAGTTTTTGTTCAACTGTTGTCTCTAGAAGACAACAGTATGTGTTGAAGGGATAGCTGGCACAAGTAATTTTCCTAGAAGACATTTGCATAAACAAAAGTGCAATGTCAATATAAAAGTAAACAAAAATGTGAACCGTCAGGTCACATCTCAATATGAACTGTTCATTTAAAGTCTGATCTTGCGTTTGTACATAAAGAGTGGCTCTTCTGGCTGAAATGAGTGGATTTTCTAATGTAGCTCAGTCACTCCCAGCAAACGTCCACAACCAATTAGAGGTGGAATCCACAACCGAATAGAGGTGCAAATCAGCAGCTGTAACATCCCTACAGAGTGAGTTAGTTGTTTTGGCTATTCAGAACCTGCACTTAGCAGCTGCTTGAATCCTGTGGGGAGAAGTAGCTGCTGAGACACATGTTTTCTCCATGAGGCTGAAGTTGACTTCCTCTTTGACAGCTTCATGTCGCACTTCCCATTCCATCTTGAATGGAGCAGCAGTAACATGTAACTGATGCTCGATTTAAAGTGGGAGGGGAAATTTGAACAGGAAGCTTCTGTTTTCTCTTTGCTCCATTAACTGACACATTTGCATGATGTCTTCACAAATGAGATAGCATATTTGAGGTGTTAGCACGGCTATTCGATCCTTGCGGTGAGCACTGTCAGCGCTCTGTCACTGTTCCATCATTACTGTACTCGACTGAGAAACCTCAGCATTTCAGCTTGGCTGATCAACCATCCCAGGTAGGCTAACCAGACCAGTTCCAAGAGCTGCACGGTGGAGTTTTAACATTCACTGTTATCTTTTAGGAATGATTGGATTGTATTAATAGAACTATAGAAATCATTCCTGGTCATTTTACAGCATGAAATCTAAGTGTATTTGATTCACAGCTCATGTCGTATTGTGATCCCTGTTGCAGAAAAATTTACAATAGCCTGTTTTCTGAGACATGTAGTACGTAGTGATTTGTGTATGCTGGTGAGTGCGTTTACATGCACTTAATAGTCCGATAACTGCAGAAAATCAGATTTTGTCAGTAATCCGGTCAACGCGTCTAAATGCACTTGAGTAATCAGATAATGGGAAACTCCAGGTCTACATGAGTCAGGCAGTAATCAGATTTCTGCTTTACAACCAGCCAGTAAACTCACAGAAGAAGACGAGACATAAACAGAATGTTTATTCTCTTTACCCACTTTACCTAAATATATAAACATACATCATCTAGAAGATGAAGAATATTTAAATCCTTAATTTCATCAAGCATGTCTTTGGTTTCAGCGTCACTCCAAAAGTGTTTTGCTGAGTCTCACGGCGACGCTGCTCGCTTGTTTCCACTACCCCAGTCTGTTTTGCACATGCACAGACTGAGAAATATGAAAGAAATCCGAGTAAGAGTTCGCATGCGCTGAGAAATCTGATTACTGAGCTAAAAATCCAGCCTCTTTATCAGATTTCTTAATTAGATTTCTAGACCTCACTCCGATATAAGAAGTCAGAGTATGCTGTTTACATGACCATTTCAATAATCAGATAACTGCAGAAATCTGATTATGATCGGATTACGGAGTGCACTTTTACCTGAGCACATGGAGCTGGTCACGACCCACTGAGTGTGTGGTTGAGAGATGAGTGTGTTTTGCTTTGTGTCTGTTGTTTTTGGAAAGCTGTGAAGCTCCATCTGCCCCTCACTGTTTCCCTCGGTGATCGACGCTAAACCACAAAACATCTCGACTGTTGTTTGGAGATTTCCTCTAGCTGTGTGGAGCGGAGCTGGAATTCATTAAAGGAGAGAATAGGCATCTCTCTCTCTCTCTCTCTCTCTCTCTCTCTTTCACTATATCTTGCTGTCGTGTTGTGTTGCCAAGCTAAAAGCTGACTTTGTGTCGTGTTGTGGTTTGTTGCATGTCATTCTGTCTCTCTGTCTCTCTCTGTCTCTCTCTCTCTCTCTCTGTCTCTCTCTCTCTCTCTTCTGAGTTGTCTTTTGAAAAGGGGTGCACCGATACCAAGTTTAGGTGCCAACATCGATGCCAATACCAATACAGAATTGGTGCAGCCATAGTTTTGTGCTGTATCCCAAACTGTGTTAACTGAGTGGGAAGTGAGACAGCTATTCACACTAGGCCTGTGTGATTTAACCCTTTAAGGCCTTTATCTATCCATTAAACAGTTTAACAGATGAAACTGTTTCTGATGTTTAATCTGCAGTTCTTTGTTAATCACTTGATTTCTCAGTGCTACTGTTACACATATTTTGATGTAAAACACAAACCAAAAGTCGGAGTTGTTTATTTTGTTATTTTTGTTTTGAACACATGAATACGACACCTTGTTTTGGTGTTAAACAGTGTCTGTTGCAGTTTGCTCAAAAGGGGAAACGGCTCTTTAGTGCCTGTGATAAGATGAAAGGGGTGGAGCTGCTATTTCTCACTTCTGCCTCGTTGCATATGCATTTGTAAGAGTTTCCCCCTCAAAGCGCAAAATACAGGGAGATTATGATAACGAAGCACTTACCGTGGTTTACCAAGGCTGATAGTGAATGCTGACTGTGAGTTAGTTAACGCCTGTGAAAAGCTCGTCTTTTGGCTGCCAGAGTTGTTGCTGGGAGAGAAAGAAAACCTACTGTGAGCGCCCACCATCCAAATAACACCCAATAAACACCCTCCCATAAAAACTGAACCAACTGGTTTTTAGTAAAACACTGAGTGTTTACATGCACTTAATAATCCGATAACTGCAGAAAATCAGATTTTGTCCATAATCTGATCAACACATTTGCATGTGCTTGAGTAATGTGAATGTGAAAAGGTCTGCATGAGTCAGATAGTAATCAGATGATCAGATAGTAATCAGAAATTCATGACACGGCTTTTTTTTTAAACATTGCACCACTTTACCTGAAAATATGAACATACATCATCTAGAAGATGAAGAATATTTAAATCTTCATTTCGTCAAGCATGTATTTGGTTTCAGTGTCCCTCCAAAAGTGTTTTGCTGCGTCTCGCGGTGACGCTGCTCGCTTATTTTCTGGTACTGCAGTCTGTTTTCACGCAAGAGCAGACTGAGAAATCCGAAAGAAATCTGAGTAAGAGTTTACATGCACTGAGAAATCTGATTACTGAGCTAAAATCCAGCCTCTTTATCAGATTTCCTAATCTGATTTGTAGATCGGAGTATGGTGTTTACATGACCATTTGAATAAACTGCAGAAATCCGATTATGATCAGATTATTGAGTTCATGTAAACACACTCAGTGTTTTAAACAGGTATTTCCTAAAACTCTGGGTGTATTTTACACTCATCACAGTATCTTCAGAGCAGCTTTTGTGTGAATGATTCGACCGTTTTCTTTGACAAACTATGGTGAAACTCTTTGTCTCTGCTGTCCTTTCTTTACTAAAGCTACTCATTACTCTGTTCACGCTGTGGCTTCTGCTACAGAACTGTCACAGAGCTGAGAGGACGCACTCACCACGAGCTCAAATCAC